TGGGAATCTCTAGCAAAACTTTTAATTAAAACATTATTATAAGTTATTATATTATTTTTTTATTTTTTTACATATCTTTTATAAAAAATTAAAAAATTAATAAAATAACTTAGTTATAAAGGAAGCCTTAGTGTTCCGTCAACATTTGATTGTTAGATGAACAATAATACCTCCACACGGGTTCACCAGCAGAAGATTTACCTAATAAAAATGAAGTGAATCATGTGATGTTGCATTGGACCAAAATATAATTTCTCCCTTTTAAGGCTGTTTAATAAGTCGTAAGTCCTGTTTGGTAGAGCGGTGGGAAAATGCTTATAGCTTATGCCTAAACAGCTTATAACTTATAACTTTCAGCTTAAGCTGATTTTCAGCTTATTCTTAAAGCATCTCCTGCCCCACTCAAAGAATAAGCTGTTTTCTGACTTCCACAAAACTATAAGCTATAAGCTATAAGGTATAAACTAAACCAAACACATCAAAATAGCTTAAATTAAACTGAAAGCTGAAATAAACTGAAATTAAACTGTACCAAACAGGGCCGTACTAATGCCGGTTTTCAAGCCAGCAAGTTCCTTATCTTCCTCTCTGGCCAGCCTCATTCTTCCAACTTCTTGCTATGCCATGTTTGACGACAACTTTAAGGTGGCTTTTAAGTTTTTTTTTTTTTGACTTATCTACATTTTTTTTAGAGAACATCAATTTTTTTTCCCTTCTTTTTATGGACAGCCTCATTTTTTTTCCCCTTATCTTCCCTCATTTTTTTCCCTCATTTTTTTTGGCTTTTAAGCAAGTTCGTTATCTTATCTTCCTCATCTTCCTCATCTTCCTCTCTGGCCAGCCTCATTTTTTTTTCCCCTTCTTTTAAGCCGCAGATAAAGATATTAAAAAAAACAAAAAGGAATGGTGACCAAAAAGTCCAAAAAAAAACTGTTGCCAAACGAGGGATAAAACTCATCCATCCAATTCACATGTTAAGCAATTTGAGCCCATATTATGTTTGGTTTTGTACATCTAGGGGAAGTTTTATATTTCTATTACAGTCATAATCATGTAAAATAGACTTTAATTAGCTTGAAAGATTCTCTCTTTCTCATACAATTATTATTTTTTTCTTTTCATTTTTATACCTTTCTTTTAATTTCTTATAGATCTAGTTGTAAAGGCTTCTATCCTCCAATGAAAAAATTGTTGGTACAGAGTAGAGACTTCCTTGATTTTGAAGTTCAAGCTTGAAACTTGTAACAAGATTTGAACAAATTTCTTTATTTTTTATTTTTTATAATTCGGTATTTGGGCCAGCTTATACTGCAATATGACTAATCCCGGGGTCTTAAAATTAACAACTATACAAATCTCTAATAGCCGAAAGGTCTGAAATGTATGAGATTCGACCCGTCAAATTTTTTGTTACGCTATTAATTTGAACAATTACATAGACAATGTCATATAGTGCTTTAAAATTTCCTAATAATTATCCTATGGCACATGAATAATATCTTAAATAACTATTTTATGATATTTTATAATTAGATGTATATGCAATATGCATGAGATTAGTTATTTAAATAGGAAATTTCATCTTGGTTTGGAGGATGAATTACAAAAGGATATAGGCCACATCATTACATTTGTGAAACTATATAGAAATTATGTTTGTATACTCAAATTTTCAAAAATATCATATCATTTTCAACAAATTTATTTCTATAACCATTTTATTTTTAAATCATTGTCATGAATAAATGATCATGGGAGATTATGGGTCCCCAATTTTATGATGGTTGGAAGAGGGATTGGTATGATAGGGCTTTTCCATGTGGTAATGTGGGGTGGGGGACCATATAGGTCACCTTTATACGCCCTAACCAAACCTAACCTCCCTTTTGCCTTAAGAGTGCAAAAGTGTAAGATTTCAGTGATTGGTAGTGTTTGGGGTTACAAACCACAGATTCTCCTCCAGGTTTTACGTTCTTAAAAGCTTTGACATGATTGTATATTGTTCCTACTACTTGCCTTTGTTTATGATCCACCTTTGCCCCCAAAGTCACATATATATATATATATACCTCTTAAAATCCCAATCTCTCTATCACTCTCTTGAAGAGGAGAAGTTATTTGATGGTATTGCGGCATGGTCAGATGATGCTTTAGGTGATTAATTGAAGAAGTAAGGACATGTTTGTTTAGACGGACTGGATTAGCATTCCTATGACTAATAGTCCTGGGATTACGAATCCGTTGGATTATGTATCCTATCTTAACTAAAAGTCAAGTTTAAAATAATTAGTCCGTACTTCAATTGTTTAACCAAATATCGGATTAATAATTTTATTGGACTATTAGTCCAATCCCAAGCTCATGTCCACCCAAACAAACATGGCCTAAAAGTTACGTGATTAATAGAAGAAATAGAATATGAGATAACAATAACATAAGACTTAACATTTGGTAATTGGTGAAAGATAGAAATACGTTATGCCTTTGAATCGCGTAATAATTTTTTCGTATAGGAGGGATGGTACATTTTATAAAGAATAAAATTACATTTGACCATGCTTGGATAACAACCTCTTGTTGTTACACTTACCTTATTTTGAAAAAAAAATCTAAAAATACATAATCAAACATATGATGAGAGAGAATTGTGTTTAATTCTATAATTGATTTTTATGTGAATAGAATAATTGCTATACTTTTTTTTTACAAATATTTATTTTACTTATTCAAAAACATACTCAGAAATATTGTATAATTTAAATTCTTTTTAAATGTAATACAAAATTGAATCCAAACCGCACATCAATATTCTTGGGCTATAAGTCAGCCCAAATAATATAGACCAAAAGTTTGTCAAATGCATTACTTAGTTTTGATTTGGGCCCAAAGTTATTATTGGGCTCAGCACAGCTCGCTGCTTTGCCTGTAACCCAATTTGATGTTGTAGAGAATCACGTACATATGTTTATATTTTAAAATATATAAAGCAATGAGAAATAAATAAATAAGGAAAAAAAATATATAGAGTCTAAAAAAATAATCTGAAAAGTTTTCATAAAAATTATATAGAAAATTACTAACTGGTCTTATCAGTTGGAGTTATTATCCAATAAGTTTTGAGTGAGATTTTTATTAATTGGAGCTATTAATCCTGAAAATCGTACTTTTTTCTGTTAAGAATTGTTAGAAAAATGTTGAGTTTGTTGTGAAAACCAATGTGAGTTGAGAATTGAAATGACAAAATAAAAATTTTAAACCCCTATTAATTTAGAGTAGGACTTGTTGGGTATTAAATTCGGTCCATAAGACCGGCCCATAAATCTTCCAAAAATAAAATGTGTGATGTAAATATAAATTTACAATTATTTGGGCCACACTCATAATAAAAGAATCTAATCCACAATTTTTATTTTTATTTATAGAGACAAATTTTAAGTTATTTTCAGGGAATAATCCAAACCAATCTCCAGCTAATTTGGGCTTCTGTTGGGCTATAGTAAGCAGCAGAGGCCGCGCGGCCCATTATAAATAGTCACACTTTTTTTTTTGAAAAATAAAAAATAAAGGATAAATTATAAATACACCTTAAAGTACATATTGCTTTTTGTGGTTTAGAAAATTATAATTACTCTATTGTTTAAATTTTTTATTTAACAAAATTAATTAAAAAAATAAAATTTATAATTACTCTCTTATACAATAATAAAATTACTTAAATTATTAATTAAAATATATTTATAACATTATTAGAAATATTTAATCAAATTGATAATTTATTAATAAAAATGATAATTTATTATGTAATTAAAAACTTTAATTAAAATATAATATCAAAAACTCTAAAAACATATATTTTACCCAAAAAATAAAAAAACGTCGACCGACGCTGGGGACTAGATGCTGACTAAAGTGGAACCCACTTATATGTGTTTCCAAAATCTTTCCGCAAAAGCTGACGTGGCAGCGTCAGTGGAGTGGAATATGTTTGGTTTTGGCTTTCTAAAGTGATTTTGACAAAAAAAAAAATTTAAAAATTTGTTTGGTTTATAATTTTTTCAAAATTATTTTTTCTCTATTACACATTAATCAATTATTTTTTCTTTCTCATCTCTCCTTCTCGATCATTTTTTTATACATATCTACTCAATTATAACAAAATATCAAATTATTCTAAACTCTCAAACTTCAAAACTACTTTCAAAATATACAACCAAACAAACTAAAAAAAAATCTAAACTCTCTCTCCAAAACAATTTTTAAAAACTACTCTCTCAAAACCAAACCAAACCAAACCAAACCAAACATATTTTCAAAATATCACATTCGTACATCTTAATTACTTAGGCCAAGTTTGGCATGATTGAAAAAAGACAAAAAGTCAAAAAGTCACTATCCTATTTAAGTCACATCATCTTATTTAAGTCACATCACCTCTCTAACACATCACTTCAAACCCAACCCAAACCCAACCCATATTTCATAAAAAGTCAAAAAGTGCACTTATTTAGTCTTCCCAAACTAGGCTTTATTATTCATCATATATTTTTATATTTCTAAATTACTTAATATAATATTTTATCTACTTACATTCTTCATCAATAATAATATTATAAAATATCACATATTCATGCTTTGGAGAACGGGATTGCTGTTGTGCCTGACTAAGCAACCCTGCTCTGAGAGCTTGTGAGAGTTTATTCTAATCTATTTTGATTGTTCATATTTTAAGATTCGTCGAGTATATTATTATTAAAAAAAAATTAAATTAATTAAATATTCATAATCTTACGATCAAGATTTAATTATTTTTTAAAAAATTATTAAAATCATATTAACGGTTTATTTTTTAAAACTAAATCTGCTTTTATTGTATGGCTGCATATACCAAATTAATCTAATTCTTTATAAGTTAATCTAATTCTTTAGAGAGAATTTATCTGACAAACTTTTATAATAAGAATAGTTTAAATTATCACCCGAGATAACTCCCATAGGCCCTCATAGCAGGCTGCAGCATCCCTCTGTCCCATACTCGGAGTAGTGAATAATCATCCCTGCGTAATACTCAAACCACAAAGCTAACCCTGTGCTCCCCATTCTGGTGCACCTTCGCTTTCCTGGCTCTCTCTTCTTCTCCTTCTCCTTCCCCTTCCCCTTCCCCACCACCTCCTGCTTCATTCATATACTCTCTCTCTGGATCTGTAATCCCCTCTCTCTCTAGAACGCCATGGGATTTTGTAGATCCCTCGCACTCCGTTCATTGATCTCGGCGATCGTTCTTCTGCTTTTCACTCACCATGTTCACTCCTTCTACCTTCCCGGCGTCGCTCCCCAGGATTTTCAGAAGGTCATCTCTCTCTCTCTCTCTCTCTCTCAATGATTTAATTCTGTTGTATTCGCTTTACCAATTCGATCTAGGATTCCTTATTGCGCTGCATTTAGTTTTCAGATCTCCAATTTTCGATTGTTGCTTTTAGGTTTTGATTTATGTTAATTGGATTATGCACTCGTTTTGAATTAATTGTTAATTGGTAGTTCATGGGGTGCGAAAAGTGTCGGTGGAGGTTTTTTTTTTTATTTTTTTTAAAGCAGGGTTGGCTTGTGTATCGTTTGTTTTTAAACTTGTAAATACTATTCAATTAATGGCATTGAGGTTGGCTTACCAAGTGGTTTACTTGTTTGCTTTGTCAAATTTCAATTTTTATGTCATGGGCACACTCAAAAGAAAACAAGAGTGTAGACAGAGAGATAAGAATGAGAGACCATTCTTTTAAGTTCTTGAGGAGTGACTTTTTCCTTTCCTTTACTTGTCTTTTCTCTCTAATTCACCCAATTCAAACTGGTTGTAAGGCAAATATGAAATATGGTAGCTCACATGGTTTTGGGAAAATGTAATGAGGTTATGAAATTTTCCCACAACTTTTCAAATTGAGGTTGAATTTAGCTCGATTTTACCAATTATTGCTCCTTTGTTATGGGTATTCTTGATTGTTGTTCTCTATGTTTATTTCGTAGATTTATTTTTCCTAATTACAGTCAGAAATAGAGAGACATTGATGTGTGGAGCTTTGCACATTCATTCTTGAAAATGCCTGTGGTTCTTGTCCCTATCTGACTGATCCATAACTGGTGATCACGGGAGGGAGGGACTTCTTTATTTGAAAATGCCTGGATCACTGATCAACTGAACCTTGGACCCTACTTGAAGTGACTTTGCTGGGTGTATGAAGATATGTTAAATGTATCAAGCTAGATATTTATTAGGAGCTGTTGAAACAACATTCTTTGCTTACTTATAGCTGTGGATCCAAGTTTATAAAGCACTTCCCTTTGGCTTTGTGCCGTACAATGACCAAAAAAGAAAAACACTTCAACATTGGTCAACAACCAACCCCTTTGTAATCTAGACAACAGCATGACCCCAGAAAGCTCAAGTGGGAATGTGATTTTCATGTTTCAATTTTTCCCTCATTGGATTGTTGTCTACAAAATTTCTTACTATTGCTAGTAGTTGGGGTTGGGGTTGGGGTTGGGGGTGGGCTGACCATTTGTCATCATTTACGAAAAAGTTTGAAATTTGGCAGTGAAACATGTTATATGCAATTATGTTAACTCATTACAAAGTTGGGTGAGGAAATTATAATCCGTAAGATATTTCAGTCAAACTGAGGGATTTACTATTTATGATTGTGCATTATATTTTCTACATTTGTACTTTCTTCTGACATGGTTGGTTTGGTGTAGATTTTTTTGATTTTTTTGATTTTGTCTGATATGTTGGTTCTATTCTGGACTGAAGCCTATCTCACGCTGCCGGCCTGTATTTTCCTTTTATGCATCAAAATGTTTGGGGCTTTATTAGGGATGTTTGCTAAAATTATGTTTGTTTGACTTGGACGCAGGGTGATCCGTTGAGTGTGAAAGTGAATAAATTGACCTCTACGAAGACTCAGCTTCCTTACTCATATTATTCTCTTCCTTATTGTCGTCCAAACACTATAGTTGACAGCAGAGAGAATCTTGGGGAAGTATTGCGTGGTGATCGTATTGAGAACTCCCCTTATGTGGTCAGTTTAATGTATTTATTAGTTGAGGTCTTCTGATAAATTATTTTCCTGTTATTGACACTTTTTTAGCTGAATGGGTTTGTTGCAGTTTACTATGCGCGAACCACAGATGTGCAAAATTGTCTGTCGGCAAACACTTGATGCCAAAACTGCAAAGGAATTCAAAGAGAAGATTGAAGATGAGTATCGTGTCAACATGTAGGAGACTCATATATGGACTTTTACCTCTTATCAACTAATTTCTATGAACTTTGCTTTCAAGATACATTGTGTATTCTTAACAAATCTACTATGTTTGTGACAGGATACTGGATAACCTTCCTCTGGTGGTTCCCATACAAAGGCTAGATCAGGAATCTCCACCGGTATATCAGCTGGGCTTTTATGTTGGGCTCAAAGGGCAATACGCCGGAGTAAGTAAATCAGTTATCAGCACACAGGCTCAAGGTGTTGTGAATGCACTGATTTCTTCTTTTGCTTACTTTTTATTTATATGCAGAAAAAGGATGAGAAATTTTTCATACACAATCATTTGACATTTACTGTCAAGTATCATAAAGACATGCAGACCGATTCAGCAAGGATCGTGGCCTTTGAGGTGAAGCCATTCAGGTTGATTCCTTAGAGGCTCTTTGTTTCTTATTAATTTACTCATTCCTCTTTGTTGTAGTAACTTGAGGTGATCTGATATCTGATAATTTGATGCATGCAGTGTTAAACATGAATATGAAGGAAAGTGGACTGTGAATACTCGTTTAAGCACTTGTGATCCACACACAAAACGCATGGTTTCTAACTCCAACACTCCCCAAGAAGTTGAAGCGAACAAAGAAATTGTATTCACATACGATGTTGAGTTCCAGGTGATTTGCCCATCCGAGAAATAGAATGTTTTACCATCGACTTTCAGAATTTAAGGGCCATTTCTATTAGAGGCATTTTCTTTTACCCTCGTTTGCAAACGTGTTTGTTTGTTTTTTTATTTGTTGTTGGTTTCAAATTCTGTGTTATCTCCTACAAATTGTGGTTACGATTCTGATGTCTACATTTACAGGAGAGTGAGGTGAAGTGGGCATCAAGATGGGACACATATCTTCTAATGAGCGATGACCAAATCCACTGGTTCTCAATTGTCAACTCCTTGATGATTGTTCTCTTTCTGTCCGGCATGGTGGCTATGATAATGCTGCGGACACTCTACCGTGACATCTCTAGGTACAATGAACTTGAGACTCAAGAGGAGGCCCAAGAAGAAACAGGATGGAAACTAGTCCACGGCGACGTTTTCAGGCCACCAAATAACTCTGATTTGTTATGCGTCTATGCTGGAACAGGCGTTCAGTTCTTCGGAATGATGCTTGTTACTATGATCTTTGCCATCCTAGGGTTCCTCTCGCCTTCAAACCGTGGCGGACTAATGACAGCAATGCTCTTGCTCTGGGTTTTCATGGGACTCTTCGCTGGTTACGCCTCTGCACGTTTGTACAAGATGTTCAAAGGAACAGAATGGAAGAGAATCACTCTCAGGACTGCTTTTATGTTCCCAGGCAGTGTCTTTGCCCTCTTCTTCATCTTAAACACACTCATCTGGGGTCAGAGATCTTCAGGAGCCGTGCCATTTGGGACAATGTTCGCTCTGGTCTTTTTGTGGTTCGGGATTTCAGTCCCACTCGTGTTCGTGGGTGGCTATGTCGGGTTCAAGAAACCAACAATTGAAGATCCGGTGAAGACGAACAAAATCCCTAGACAGATTCCCGAGCAGGCATGGTACATGAACCCGCTCTTTTCAATTCTCATCGGAGGCATTCTTCCATTTGGAGCTGTGTTCATCGAGCTCTTCTTCATCCTCACCTCGATCTGGCTCAACCAGTTCTATTACATCTTTGGGTTCCTCTTTATAGTCTTCATCATCCTGATCATCACTTGCGCCGAAATAACTATCGTGCTCTGTTACTTCCAGTTGTGCAGCGAAGATTACCTGTGGTGGTGGAGATCATACTTGACATCAGGCTCATCGGCTCTTTACCTGTTCCTCTATGCTACTTTCTACTTCTTCACAAAGCTTGATATCACAAAGCCGGTTTCAGGGGTACTGTATTTTGGGTACATGTTGATTGGTTCATATGCGTTCTTCGTGTTGACCGGTACCATTGGTTTCTATGCATGTTTTTGGTTCACAAGGCTGATTTACTCGTCAGTGAAGATCGATTGATGAAGTGCGTGGATTTTGATGGCAGGCTATACCATCTTCTGTTTTATAAATGGTAGTTGAGGTTGAAGATTAATGTATTGAGTGGTATTGATTTGAATGTGACCATATTTGTGTTCATTTTTGAACGGTGACAAGGTCAGTAAGCCATTGTTATAGTAATAGTATTCTCTTCTCTTGTCTTCTCTTCTCTTCTCTTCTCCTCTCCTCTTCTATATTTGCTTGACAAATGCAGGAATTCATAAAGTTGTGTGATTTCTTCCTTAGATTCTTTCATGATGAATGCATTGATATAGTCCATGAAATTAATATGGGGTTCATTTATATAATGAAATTTCAGGTACTAAACTAATAGTTAGAGATTGACTCAACTATTAGCCCACTTAATAGCAATAGATATATAGACGATGAATGATTGAAGCAACTTCATGGGAGATGTATCCTTCAGAGATTGACATCATATTTGTACATTGTTTAACGACCAAACAAAACCAGAAGCAACCATAAAAAGAACTGTTTCAGATTCTAAATCAAGTTCATAATCTTATTTACTAATTAAAAAACAGTGAAAATCAAAATACTTTTTAAGACAACCAATTACACCAACCAAACCACCATTCCATAACCCCCAAGGATACATGTATATATATATACACCCTATTTGCGAGGATGGGTATCCTCGGGCTTGGCGGTGCCGGTGGCAACTTTGGCAACATCGCCGGCGCTGGCTTCGGGCTTCTTCTTAGCATATAAGGTGAAGTAACCGAGGGTGGCGACGATGAGGAAGCCGCCGAGGGCCATGGTGTAGGGGCTGAATGGTAATTTACGGCGCTGGTGGAGGACCTCACCAGGGTTGTGACCCGGTGGCCTCTTGGAGGAGTCGACTCCAGCTTTCTTGACTTCCTCTGAACTCATCTTGTGTGTGTCTGCGTTCTTCTTCCACTCTTCATTTCCACCACTACTCATTTTACTCTCTCTTCTCTCTCTCTCTCCAAAACTCAGAACGCAGAGAGAGTATGGAGGAGGAGTTTGTCTGAAGATGGTGATGGATTGCCACGTGTTAATTAATGAAAATGGACATGTGGCAGTTTGGCTGTTCTACATGCATGGTGACATGTGTCTTTTATTTTATAATAGGTGAATGTTAGAGACACCAAATTTTCTACCAAACAAATGACCAAATGTCTCACATGAGTGTGGGTCCGTAATTTTTCTACCAAACAAATGACCAAATGTCTCACATGAGTGTGGGTCCGCAATTTTGTAGGCCCCACACTCATGTGAAAAACAAAAATCCACAAATTACCGTACATGAACACTAACAAAATTTTCTTTTTTACATTTTTTTTTTTATCTCCAATATTTACATTCTTACCCACAATTTATAGAGATTTGGCTGCAAGTCCCTAGCAATTGGGATAAAAAATAAATGATGCCTCAATTTGATTTTTATTTGTTGAAATGAGACTCATCACTTTCAAAATAATTTTTTGGAAGCTACTGAACTAGATGATGACTGGATGAATAAATCTGAATTCCAAAATTTTGGATAGAAAAAAAAAAAATGTCCCCAGACCATCTGAAATTTAGACAATTCTGCTCCCAAAATAAAATAAAATAAAATAAAATTTAGACAATGAAGGTTTTATGGCATCCTATGCCATGGAAGACTTGTACCATAGTTAGAACTCAACAATGCAATAGTCAGATATTGATTTCTGACAGGAGAGAGAGACTAATGAAAAACAAGTATGAATTGCTGCTGTTTTTGCTTTCTATATAGCCAGAAATTACTACAAGAAACAGAGGGAGCCTTGAAATGTCGCCAGAAATAAATAAAGAAAAAGGAAATGTAATTTGAAAATTTAACCATTAGGTTGACAAAGGTCACCACATAAATAGCCATTACAACAAAAAGCTCATATACAAAAATTGAAGCTCAACTCCGTCAATGGGTCAGCGTCACTTCAATCCCTCACCAAGTCCCTGCGGCATTCCCAGGCTCTGGGCAAGATTACTCATCCTTTCTTTCATGGCCTGTCAACATCAGAAAGTGTAATCTTCAGGGACAGACAGATGGACTCCAATAGAGAGGAAAGGGAAAAAGAGAGAAATTTCACAGTTCACAAGATGAGATGATTTTCACCTGAACACTCTTCTGGTGCGCATCCTTGTATGCTTCAGTGACCAAAAGGGAGAGTTTCTGCATGAGAGAAAAAATTCCTATTACATCTACACATTTCACGTTGAACATGGTAGGAACACATCATAGGCACACACGTCCTGCCTCTAGACGCTCCCGATAAATGAAGTGATTTTTCATGTTAAATTAGTTAGTTTTTTCATTATTATTCACTATGCTTGGTTATCATTTTTCAAAAACACTTTTCAGAAAATTCTACTTTCTTATTTTTCGTATTTTTTTGTTTTTACTGAATTTTTTTAATATTTTGAGCAATTTTTTTAATTTTTAGACATACCTAACATAAATATACCTAAAAAGCAAAAAAAAAACTTTTTAAAAATTCACTAAATACCAAAAATACAAAAAAAAAGAAGAGAATTCAATACATTTTTTTATATTTTTATGTATTTATTAATTTTTAAAAATATTTTTTCACAAATTTTTTACTTTTTAGATACATCTAAATAAGGTGCATCTAAAAAAGTAAAAAAAATGTTTAAAATTTTAAAAATATTCACTACAAACAAAAAAACACGAAAACCAAAAAACTCAGTTTTCAAAAAACTTAATTCAAAAAACTCAAACCAAACACACTGATTTTTTTATTTTTATTTTTCAGTGTAATATTTATATTCATCAACAAATAAAATATATTTGACATATCTCCTCCCTCCCATGTTCATGTCCTTATTTTTTAGAAATTGGCATGTCACATGTCCGTGTCCACATTCTTGCTTCTTAAGTTAAAACTATTTCTCTATATGGATTTACTAGTCATACCCAGGAATTGTTGTTAAGTGGAGGGGTGCATCTAATTAGTATAGAGTTGTTGAACTCGGGACTCATAAACAATGAACTTAATATGTAATGAAGGCATTGCACCAATATAGTTGTGAAGAGGTGTGGATGTTCAAGTAATCTCTTTGAAAGTGTCATCATGAGCCATTATATACGAGATATAACTCTAGCCCTGCTAATGCGAAGCACAATAGTGAGGACTCGAGTAAGAATAGTTATCTACAATAAGCTATAATTTTTTTACCACATTTGATTTACCATGTGATTGTCACCATTGCATTAGTTGGTGGGTCCCACCACTCATATATGTTACAACGCAGTAGTGACAAATCACATGGTAACCCAAATATGGTAAGAAAATGTAACCATGTTCACTTACTTCAGCTCCCAACTCCATTGCAGCCTCAGTTATCTCAGTGCGCACAGGCTGCTGGTTACCAGAAAGTGTTACCTACAGAAAAGCCCAAAGAGATGTCAAATTGAATCCTTCGTGAACATTAAAACAAAGCCTGCACTACTACCAAGGAAAAACCTGAGAATAATTATTAGCTACAGGAACAAGACTTCCGTTATTGCGATGGAGGTAGCTCAAACTCCTACTATAATAATTTAGCTGCATATTGTTTTTAAAAAGAATTTGGACAAACATAACCACAAGCCAGAATCGAGCCAATAAGAAAAAGAAAGGCAACCAATGAAGACGGGGAGGAGTCACTGTCCAAAATGCATGATGAATAATATGCAAAAAATGATGCTCTTTAAATCCAAAAATAAACAAATACAAAAGCGAAACACATCTGTTTTTAAAATTAAATTTAAGGGAGAAAAACAACAAATAGATCACTCCAATGCCATTCAGAATATCGCGACTAATTTTACGTGCTATGCTAAATGTATCCAATGCTTCTTGTGCCATGAAAATAAAAATAAAAAAATCAGAAAGATAAAGCTGATAAATCTGCTTAAATTTTGTGATGTTGGCCTTTGGAGAGAGCTTAATGATTTGGAGATGATAAGAGTTGTTGGATCTCCTTGGTAGCTCTATTCATCCCCTATTGATGATGTTGGTGATTCGGTAATGTGAAGTCCTTTTATGCTACGCTTATGGGGAGCAGTGAGTCTTCTTTCCCGTCGAGAGGGGTTTGGCGCACTAAAGAGGCCTTCTTCATTTGGTGTGCTTCGCATGGGAAGATTCCCATCATTGATAACTTAATTAAAAGGAGACAAATGCACACATCAATTGGTATTGCATGTGTAAACATGATGGACAATCCATGAATCACCTCCTAATCCATTGCAAGGTGGCGCAGGAACTGTGGACGTTGATTCTTGGTTTCCACATTGTGATAAGAAGTCTTACACATTTGACACAGCTTCTAAAAGCTCGAAAGCTAAGCTAAGTCACAGAAGCATCTAACCAATCCAATTTTTTGGCCTTTTTTTAAGCTAAAATATTGTTTCAGAAAGTAGCCTTTTTGTCTCAAATCATACCTTTATTAGCTCACCTTCACAATAGCCATCAAACTCTGCTCTGCAAAACAGAATATAATAGCAAGCATAAATATGGAAAATGACCATAATAAATCCATGCACACATCATAATAGTGAAAAGGGAATTGTAGAATAAAGAAAAAATAGATCTGCTGAGTAACACATACGCAGCAAGTTCTTTCTGCACACGTACTGCCTCAACTTGGACTACCATCTGGGCTTTTTTTACAGTCTCATATAAATTGTGCATGTTACCGAATATTCCAGCCTACACACCCAAGTAGCAGAAAATAAGATCAGCTTTACCAAGTATATTTGACAATTAAACAGAAATAAAAAGAGAGAAGCACAAATAGTACACACCAAGACCAAACTTATCAGGAATAAAATTGGCTTTGATACACAATAAGTTAAAAGTGACAAATCACTATCAATATCCACAAATGCTTAAGTTGAAAACAATGTCTCTCAGATTAAGTAAAAATTTATCCAATCATCTCCCTGAACAGAGAGTATATAGTTTATAAAAAAATATTTTTTTATAAAAGCAAAAGTTCTTTTGAGATGCTTACTAATAATAAAGATTTTCAGTATTTAGAATACTGCAGAAATGAAATTTTGTATATCAATTTCAGGCACTTAGAAGATAGCCAGTTAAGTCAGAACTAAAATTATTATATTTTTGGACCACATTATATATGTTAAGCTGTAAAATTGCTATACTTGAGACAAAGGTCACATTAGGTAACTGATATCAAGCACAAAACCTTAAGACCCCAAGTGAACATTAACCTGGGGATTATCCTAGCTGGCTTGCAAAGTTGCATGTACATTGATCAAGCATTCATCTAGAAGGCGGATTCTTTTAAAGGAGTAAAAATAAAGGATGGTTGTGCTACATCAGCTACATCAGCATTAACAAGGTGGGCCTATATATCCCACAAAATATTTACCTATACATAAATTTTAATTAAAAGATCATTTATAGAACCTTTGAGGGCGCGTCATCACCATTGTCATTATTTTCCTTTTTGCCTCCAAATAAACCATGTATACGAAGAGATCTTCGGGTCTTGCCAATCGTACTACCAGGCCATGATGCAATAGGAGGACCAACTGGATTGGAATATGGATTCAATTTACCTAAAAAAGCAACAGCAGAATATAAGTTATTTCATATCGTCATATATTAAAAACATGCAATAGTATTATCTTATACTGTTTGAATTGCATAATGCTTGTGTAAGAGCTTAACACTCTTGAGTCTTGCCAAACCTTAGAAAAAATGGGACAATAAAAGAATAATTAATTTGTAGGTATAAAATATTAAGGAAGTCAAAGCTAAAAAAGATGAAAAAAAACAACTTATAGCTCCTCAAGAGTTCAACCCCTTTCTGAACAAAGAAATCTGCTTTGCATTGGTTGACATATGACTCTAAGAAAACTACAGACCCAAAACTGGCAGAACTAGCACATGAAATGCTAGTATTTTGACAGCCATGAGAGATATTTGTTATCTATCTAACAACAATAGAAGAATCTATAATACTGCGACATCCCTGGACTGTTTTTCTCCAAGGCACCACCAAGAATCTGTAACCACTAGGCCCTACTTGACAAGCCTAAACTATAATTCCTTTTGCATCAAACCATACCACATAAAAATCATCCAAGGCAACCTTACTGTTATTCATGGATACTACTCAAAATCCTAGAATCGTACCCCAAAATTTTGTCTTCCTTTGTCCATTGGAACCCCCAACCACTTGCCCCATAATTACACCCATACAAACTCTCAAAATCAGCCTTTTGGTCAAAATAACTTAATCTTCTGCATATAAACACCAGCAAGAAAGGTTGTAAGAGAGTGTGGTCCGCTCTCATCTTACATCACAACTCAACACAACGACATGACCCCTTCAAATACTCATATCTCTTGAATGAGATCTTGGATCTCACAAGTGAGTTGCAATCTCCATCTCTCCCTCTCTCCCAAAGGCACACAGCATCTGCACGCATGCACACATGAGGCAACTAAGGTCAATGATTTGGCTAAAAGAGAATCCACAATGTATAAATTCCTTCTATAAAACTACTATTGCAATAAACCTTAGGTTGGTTGGTTGCTTTTGGCCCTTACCAATGTGAGGGCTTTCAAGGGACTTTATGTAGTGTACCTCATTCGTAACTCTTCCAAATAAGCATTTCTACTCTGGGATCAACAATGGTTTTATACACCCACCCTCACACCCAACACTGCCTAATTTGTTACACACCTGATTACTGAGGTACGGCAAATTTTATTTTATTTTATTTTTTAAGTCGTAGTAATATACTAACAAGAACTGTGTCATCTAAATTCATTCAAAAACGAAACTCATTGTTACATCCAGAGACCAAGACAAACAAAGACCTCAACATACAATTCCACTACACTAATAAATCCATTATAAAGAAACATAGTAAAGGAGCCCAAATCATATAAAGGTTCTACCAAATAAAACCCAACAAATTTAGTTCCAATAATATTTAACAACAATGTAGTAATGTACCCATTAAAGGACCTCATCTGCAAATCCCAATTTCCAGATGCAAAAAGTTTCGAAATTGATTGATATTATTTACATATCTAGAAACATAAGAACTGTGGGAATTAATTCCTAAAATCAAAATACCCCAAACAAAACTATTTGTGTGCGTGTGAAAAAGAAGACTACAAATAGCAATCTTAACCAAAAAAAAAGATTGTATAATAAACATATGTACAAAAACAAAGATCATGGATGAAAGAGAGAAAGCTTACAGAATGAAAACGAAGAGGAATTAGGGTTTCTGGGTTCAACTAGTCCGTGGCGGTTAGAAAATTGTGGAGCTAGGGCACTGGTAGACGCCGCCATTGATATGAAGACAAACTAGAGAGAGAGAGAGAGAGAGAGAGAGAGGGGAGCTTGGTGGATGAACTTCAGAGTTGGGGGAGGATAATACCACCGTCAATTTTGGTAGTCGATAATTAGATTTCTGTTTTTGTTTTTGTTTTTATTTTATTTGTTTCTGTTTAATTTTTTTATTTGTATTTTTTTATTATTGGAAATTCTCAATAACCCCTGTGTATATATTTATTAATACTTTTTTTTATTGAAAATTATCAATAATCATTATCTGTCTATCGCTCAATGTCTCTGTTATTTGTCATATTTGTATATATTATTTATCTGATTACATCTCATTTATTTTCGCACGTCGTTTTTTATTTGTTTACATTACTTATAAAATTTATTTATCCATCTAATTTATTTATATGTTTATATTACCACCACTATTACTACTTCTAATTACTATGGCAACAATGGATTAAAAATATAAACAATCATTAATGACGTTCTTATCACACCAAAAAAAAAAAAAATCAATTCTTAGACTTGTTTTGTGCTTTTATAAAAATAGACTTATCACCAATAAAAAGTTTAATAGAAAAAAAAAATATAAATAGAAACATTTCTAAAATAATTTTATATAAATATTTAATTTGGATTGCATCGTCCATTTAAAAATTATTAGGACTGCACACAAGATATGGTTCCGAACGAATGATAGTTGAGATAGTTTCGAACGCTCTCACTACTCCTCACTGTGACAGTTTCGGAAACTCAACTCTGTCTACGCCAAACGAAGTTCTCATTCAACTGATAATCCATCATCCAATTTTCTTTGGTAAGTGAACGCCTATCTTGATATCTCTGCAATTTCCTTTCTCATAGACAATTCAACGAATACCCATCATGCAAAACACAACATACCTCTAATTTATGCTCTTCCCGAATTGAATTCTTTCTGATAATATCATCAATGGCTGTTTTGGTACTTTGCAACTCAAGTATTTACTGTAGTAATGTCAATTACACTGCCCTAACTGGTAATAATAGACAATACCACTCAAAGTGCAATGGGTCTATGGTGAATTGGAAGAAACATAGGAGAAAAATGGTGGGTCTTTGTGGGTTTGTGATGAAAAGCTCACATGGGTTAATGGCAGTAAGTGGGAAGCCAAATGGTGGTATGTCTTCTGAGGAAGCAATTGGGGTTTTAAAGTCAATTTCTTCAGACCCAGAGGAAGCTTTTTCATTCTTTAAGTCTGTTGCTCAGCTTCGTAATGTTGTTCACACTGCCGAAACCTGTAATTACATGCTTGAGCTCTTGATGGTTCATAAGAGGGTTGGTGATATGGCTGTTGTGTTTGATTTGATGCAAAAGCAAATTATCTATAGGAATTTGAATACTTATTTGATCATATTTAAGGCTCTTCGTGTAAAAGGAGGGATTCGGTAAGCACCATTTGCACTCGAGCGGATGAGAAAAGAAGGGTTCGTTTTGAATGGGTATTCGTACAATGGGCTGATCCATTTGCTTCTTCAGTCTGGATGTTGTAAACAGGCTTCGGAGGTTTATAGAAGAGTCGTTTCAGAAGGGATTAAGCCTAGTCTCAAGACCTACTCTGCGCTTATGGTAGCATCTGGGAAGAGAAGGGATATTGAAACTGTCATGGGCTTACTTGAAGAGATGGAGAGTTTGGGGTTGAGGCCGAATGTGTACACTTTCACCATATGCATTAGGGTTCTTGGGAGGGCAGGAAAAATTGACGAGGCTTATGGTCTTCTGAAGAGAATGGATGACGAGGGCTGTGGACCTGATGTAATTACTTATACAGTTCTCATCGATGCTCTTTGTCATGTGGGGAAACTTGACAAGGCAAAAGAAGTGTTTCTAAAGATGAAATCCAGCAGCCATAAACCTGATTGAGTGATTTACATCACCTTGTTGGATAAGTTCAGTGACCGTGGAGATTTGGACACTGTAAGAGAATTTTGGAGCGAGATGGAAGCAAATGGTTATGTTCCAGATGTCGTTACTTTCACAATACTTGTTGATGCTTTATGCAAAGCAGGGAAGCTTGATGAAGCATTTGGTACCCTTGATAACATGAGAAAGATAGGGATCTTGCCAAATCTACATACTTATAATACATTAATAGGTGGACTTTTGAGAGTTGATGGATTGAATGAAGCGTTAGAACTTTTTGATGGTATGGAATCGTTTGGCGTGAAACCTACTGCTTACACGTATATCCTTTTCATTGACTACTACGGCAAGTCAGGTGAACCTGAAAAAGCTATTGAAACTTTTGAGAAGATGAAACTCTGTGGAATTGTTCCTAATATTGTTGCTTGTAATGCATCTTTGTATAGTCTAGCGGAAATGGGTAGACTTGGGGAGGCAAAAGGTATATTCTATGGACTTAAAAAGAATGGACTTGCTCCAGATTCTATAACCTACAACATGATGATGAAATGCTACAGTAAGGCAGGGAAAATAGATGAAGCCATCCAATTATTCTCTGAGATGATAGAAAATGGATGTGATCCTGACGTGGTTAATATCAATTCTTTGATTGACACTCTTTACAAGGCTGATCGGGTAGATGAGGCATGGGCAATGTTTTGCAGAATGAAGGAGATGAAGCTTCCTCCTACTGTTGTGACCTTCAACACATTATTGGCTGGTTTAGGGAGAGAATGGAAGGTTCAAGAGGCCATGGAATTATTTGAGAGTATAACTGCACAAGGGTGCTATCCAAACACAATTACCTTCAATACACTTCTCGATTGCCTTTGTAAGAATGATGAGATTGATATGGCCTTGAAGTTTCTCTTTGAGATGACAACAAGAAATTGCTTTCCCGATGTTTTTACTTACAACACTGTCATTTACGGTTTAGTTAAAGAGAACAGGGTTAATGATGCATTCTTGTTCTTCCATCAGATGAGAAAGATGCTCTATCCTGATGATATAACTTTGTGCACCCTTCTACCAGGTGTTGTGAAGGACGGACGGATTGAGGATGCTTTTAAGATCGCAAAGAGCTTTATTCACCAGGTTAGGAATCAGACAGACATCTCTTTTTGGAGAGATTTAATTGAAGGAATTCTGTGTGATGCTGAAATTGATCAGTCCATTTCATTTGTTGAAATATTGATAGTTGATGAGCTTTGCAGAAATGACTCAGTATTGATTCCTCTAATTAAGGTTATGTGCAAGCATAAGAAAGCCCTCAACGCTCACGAACTTTTTGTGAAGTTTACCAGCAGTTTTGGAATTCAACCTACACTAGAAGCATATTATGTTCTGATTGAGGGGTTTCTTGATGTTCATCTCACTGAAATGGCTTGGGGTCTTTTTAAGGAGATGAAAACTGTTGGTTGTGCTCCTGATGTTTTCACCTACAACTTGTTGCTTGATGATCTTGGGAAGTCTGGGAGGGTCGATGAAATTTTTGAACTCTATGAAGAGATGCTCAGCAGGGGATGTAAGCCTAACACCATAACTCACAATATAGTTATTGTTGGTCTTGTCAAGTCTAATAGAATAGAGAAAGCCATAGATTTGTACTATGATCTCATCAGCGCAGATTTCAATCCCACTCCTTGTACATATGGTCTTCTCATAGATGGTCTCTTAAAGCTGGGAAATTTGGATGAAGTGAAGAGTTTCTTTAATGAGATGGTGGATTATGGATGTAAACCAAACTGTGCTATCTACAATATTCTTATAAATGGATTTGGCAAAGGAGGGGATGTGGAAACTGCTTGTGAGTTGTTTAATAGAATGGTTAAAGAGGGAATAAGACCAGATCTGAAGTCCTACACCATTCTTGTAGATTGCCTTTGCATGTTGGGGAAAGTGGATGATGCTGTGCACTACTTTAAGGAATTAAAGTCGACTGGCATTGATCCTGATTTAATTTCTTACAACCTTATGATTAATGGCCTTGGGAGATCAAGAAGAATAGAAGAAGCTCTCTCTCTTTTCAATGAGATGCAAAGTAGAGGGATTATTCCTAACCTTTATACCTACAATTCCTTGATTCTCAATCTTGGGATTGCTGGAATGATCGAGGAAGCTGGGAAAATGTATGAAGAACTCCTACTTAAGGGCCTTGAACCTAATGTTTTCACATATAATGCTCTCATTCGAGGATATAGCATGTCTGGGAATCCGGATCGTGCATATGCGGTCTATGAGAAGATGATGGCCGGGGGCTGCAGCCCCAACACTGGGACATTTGCACAGCTTCCTAATTAATTTTGAATTTTTTGGGGTTACTCCTCGGCTTTTAATTGTCCTAATTTCTGATGCCAGTACTCGAGGCACACAAGGTATCAATCCTTTGGATTTCTTTCTGGCATATCCCCAATATTCATCGCTGGCTTTTCTATTACCTTTTTGAATTTTAGATTTCTGACATTGTTTGTGTATTAATTTTAACTTGGCAACCTTTCACTTAATTTTGCTTACACTTGTTTTCTTTCCAGGAATGTTTGGCTTAATTGTACTTGATCATTTTGGTTGTGATAGTGTGGGCCTAGTCGTGCTTGCAATGTTGGTGGTGAGATTGCTACTACTGTAGACGTCCCCGAACGCCCCGGGAGGGTTAGTTCCCGTTCTGATCATTTTGGGTTACTACAGCTCAGACTCTTAAAATGTCACGGTTCCTAATCTGAACCAAAGAGTCCAAATCCGGCACATTGTTTTGAGCAACTGATTTTTTGAAAAAGTATTGCCAAACATGGACTGCTTTGCCAGATACAGAGTCGCCACACATATTGTATATGTCCTTCAGGTTCTGTAGTGTAATGGAAAAATAGTATTAGTGTAAATGATATCTTGTCCCTTGTTCAATCCATATGGATAAATTTCAGTCAATGTGCAATAAAATTTCAATTTGGGAGAATTTGCTTGTTGAATTTGAACCTTGTTCTCTACTGTCTGATGTCTATATCGCTCCATTATGTTCTTGCATAGACCATTATTTGTGGTCATGTACCATTGGTTTTGATCATATATAGGAATTTGTATAAAAAATTAGAAAATTGTAGACTGCAAAGCAAAAGTGAGATATCCTTTTGGTAGAAGCCTGGTATGAATACTCATAATCTTAGTTTAAATAGGCTGGAATTTTTGTCAGAATTGGCATTGTGGGATTGATAACTGGGGTTTTTGCTCATTTTCAAATGAATTACAGTTTTTTGAGGCGGAGCTGTAGATATCTATTGAAAATCCAATCTCCAAAACTTAAAGAAGATCTTGTTCAACCACAGAATTCAGGTATGACAAGAAAAATTCATGAAAAGAAAAGGAACTGTAGTGCTAATGTAGCTCCATTGGGAAGCCCATATTTAGTTTTGGTTTCAAATCCAGATACGGCAAGTATTTTTAATGAGAAAGAGAACTTAGGCTTTGTCAATATTTGTATTGTTATTTGTATTGATTACTCGTTATGTTACAGAGAGCTGAAGATGAGGAAGGAGAAGAAAGGTACAAATTGGTTGGGAGCAATTGAGAGTAGAGAAGAAGTCAAGAAGCTAGATTGGATGCCTTCGAAGGTTGAAATTTTATACATTTTATCTGTGAAGAAATACTCTTTTATTTTAGGGTGATTTGGGATAATCTAAATAAGTGTATTTTTTTACTTTTTATGAAATATGGGTTAGATATTGAGTTTAAAGTGATGTGTTAGAGAGATGATGTGACTTAAATAAGATGATGTGACTTAAATAGAATAGTAATTTTTTGACTTTTTGACTTTTTTAGATCATGCCAAACAAGGCCTTTCTTGTGAAGGGCTTTTTGCTGGCATTATAATAGTTCATGTTTGATCTTTTTATATAAACTTTCTTTTGTATGGAGAGAAATGTAACAGTACTTGCTCACTCAAATAAGAGGAATATAGCAGTAGGGGTCTGTTGTAGTGTGCAACCTATGCAACTTCATTATTGACCATTAGATTACATAAGTTGATCTTGACGGTTGAATTATTTTATTTTGAAAAATTTGACACCGGAGCAACCGGTTGACAGATCTATATTCTCTCTTCTTGCATAGTATTCTCTCTACTTTCACTTTCGTCTCTCTCTTTCGCCCCCTCTCTCTCTCTCTCTGTTGCCCCTTCATTCCATCTCTTCCCCTCGCTCCTCTCGCTCTCTTCTCTCTCTATTGCGCTCATTCCTCTCTCTTTCTCTGGCTCGATTGAATGCAAGCCGAAGTGGTTGTTCTGTTTAAAACCCTAATCTAACCAAGTGAGCCTCTGTTTGGTTTCTAAGAAAATAAAGAATTTTTTTTAGAAGAGCAATCAACAAGGTATGCCTCTTTCTGATTATTTCTGAAACCCTCCCTCTTCTAAAACTCTGTTCTTTCCCATTTTTTACTCTGTTTTCTCTCTCTAAATTTGTATTCCAATCTCTCATGTTTCACACTCATTCGAAATTTGTACGAATGAGTGTCTGTGTCTGTGTAACTTGATTTTGATTTTCATTCAGTTGGTAAATAGGAGAAATTATTCAATGCTCGTGGAGCAATGGTAAATAGGCAATTCAAGTTGTTCTGAATCAAGTTCCTTCAAGTTGTTCTCAATTGACAGTCGACGATCTTCTGGAGGTGCGAATTGCAAATCTCTCTCTCTCTCTCTCTCTCTCATAATGAACAGAGCTTTGTTCCCAATCCCTGTTATTGTACATTTTCGATGTCATCGAAGATGCTTTCAAGATCACACTGATTATCTGTGCGTGAGATGAGTTCTCGTTGATTCATTTTTTTTGGAAGAGCATTCAACAAGGTATGCCTCCCTCTTATTATTTCTGAAACCCTCCCTCTTCTAAAACTCTGTTCTTTTCCAATTTTTACTCTGTTTTCTCTCTCTGAATTTGTATTCCAATCTCTCCTGTTTCACACTCATTCGAAATTTGTACGAATGAGTGTCTGTGTCTGTGTAACTTGATTTTGATTTTCATTCAGTTGGTAAATAGGAGAAATTATTCAATGCTCGTGGAGCAATGGTAAATAGGCAATTTAAGTTGTTCTGAATCAAGTTCCTTCGAGTTGTTCTCAATCGACAGTTGACGATCTTCTAGAGGTGCGAATTGCAAATCTCTCTCTCTCTCTCTCTCATAACGAACAGAGCTTTGTTCCCAATCTCTGTTATTGTTCATTTTCGATGTCATCGAAGATGCTTTCAAGATCACACTGATTATCTATGCGTGAGATGAGTTCTCGTTGATTCATTCAAATTTGTTCGATTTTTATTATTTTGATTGCTGTTAAGAGTTTAATTTCAATTTATATTTTGGTCGATTGATGCTTATTTATTAATCTATAAATCTGGAGTGTTCTTGTTTTGTTTCTTTAGGTTTTGTAAGTTGATTTTGTGCGTATGTTTTTTCAAGTGTTTGGTATAGAACACAAAAGTTTCTAGGGATTTGATTTTGGTTTTTTAATTTTATATAATTTTGAGTTTTGAAAGCTGTTAATTGATGAAGCTAGGGTTTATGAGGTTAATTTGATGAAGCTAGGATTGAGTGGATGTTAATAGGGAAGGTGCATTGATATTTACACAACTATGGCTTTAGTTTTCGAGTTTGAATAAGACTTTTTGACTGGAAAAATAAAGCCCTAAGCAAGTGCATGTGGGTTTTCACACTTTGTTGGGTTGCTTTGACTTCATCCACTAGCATTTTATAATCTCCACCTCTACTTTTATTTTTAGGAAGCCATTCCAAAATGAAAGATAAAATTGAATTCATAAATTAAACTGTATCTAGGACAACTTGATAGTTTCTGACAATGATTGTGCCCTATGATGAGGTTGAGGTTGTTCACTTCATAAGATGACACTGCCTTAATGAAATTCAATTTATTTTTTTATTTTTTGATGACGTTGAGGTTGTTCACTTCGTAAGATGACACTGCCTTAATGAAATTCAATTTTTTATTTTTTATTTTTTGATAAGGACATCTATTAGGATAGATAAACAAGTGCTATAGTGGCTATGTTTCCTTGGTGGAGGCCCGACCTGCATGCTCCTTGTTTTCCAAACTAAACCTTGGGGAATTGAGCTGGATAGCAGCCTGAGTTTAGTGTTGCATGATATACTGTCCTATGTCTCTATTCTCTTCTTGCTTCATTTTTTTCTTTTTTATTTTTATTTTTTCTTTTTATAAAATGTTTTGATTGTATTTTCTTTTCCTTTGTCATGTTTTTGTTAGGTAAGGAAGAGAGACTCAAACTTTTAGTCTGTTTATTAAGATAATGCAACCTGCGTAGCTGCGGTATCATTTTTCACTCATTATTAGATTTTTTTTAGTGTTTTTCTTTTTTGCGTTGGCACTGGGCAACTTAGTCCAAGTGTTTGTTAACTAGATTATTATTTAACAAATCCATTCATATGTGCATGTGGTGCAATTGATGAATGTATTGTACAACCTAGATGGTGTAGGATATTTTCAATTCCCACATTAAGTATGTATGTCAACTGATGAATGTACTATAACTTTTAAGATTTTTGTTTGTTTTTTCCCTAATCAAAGATACTAGAAGTTTATTCTTCTTGTCTTTCTTCACAAGGAATTCTGATTGAAGCCTGATGGATTAGTTACATGTGGTATAATCTATTTCTAACCATTTGCAATTTATCTCTATGCCTCAGTTACATGGATGTAGTTAGTTATTTTTAACCATGTGAGGAACTATGCTTTTAATCTTTGGAAGAACAAGGGATTGAGGGAGGTACTGTCTACTACCACCAGTTTTATATTTTTCTTATTTGATTGTGTGGAAAGTAGTACTAATGTTGTTAAGGATGGACCCTGGTTTTTTGGGGGGCACTTTCTTGTACTGAAAAAGTGGCACAATATGTTGAAATTATCTAAGGAGAGGCTTGATAGAATTTTGATTTGGATTAAGTTGTTTAACATTCCTTTAGAATTTTGGGATGATGATAGGCTTAGTAGTATTTCTAGTGCTAGAATTTCATTTGCTAAAATATGTGTGGAAATAGGATTGGATTCTCTTCCTACTGATTTTCTAATCAAATGTGAAGATCAGAGTGTTGGGATTGGGGTTGAATACCTGTGGACTCCATCCAAGTGCTCAAAATGTAAAGTCTTTGGGCATATGGAAGATAAATACATCAAAACTCGAGTGGAGAATTTGTCCAAAGAAAGTATTTCACTAAAGGTGTAAACTTTTGGTGACTAAAAAAAGTTAGTCATTTTATGTTCAATTTTTGCCGACGGCAAAAAAAATTAGTAGTGAAATTATGCTTTTGACTACAAAAGATTAGTCATTATTAATTAATATTTGTTGACAAATAATAATTTAGTCGCTAAAGGGTGAGAAATTTTATTACCGCGTGCCCCTCTTCTCTGTTTCACACAAACACTTTCTTCTCTGTTCTCTCTTACACACATAGAACAATCACCACCAAACCTCACCTCAAGCCGCTGTGCTCGATTATCCGCTTTTACAAAGTAGAAGTCATATAGCGCAATGTCCTCAACTTGCTATCTCAAAAACTCTTTCTTCCATGTAGCCAGAATGCCTCTTGGCAACACCACTAGTGGTCTAGCATGGGGATACTTGGCCAGAAAACTCTGCATAAAACTAATTGTCATGAAAGCTTTACCAGAGCTTGGAGCGTGGGCCATGATGTAGCCACCTGGATTCTCTGTAACCAAGTTACTCAGTAACCAAGTTACTCAGTAGAAAATTGAAGCCCTCAACTTGATGGGGTTTCATCTGCTTTTTGTGCCTGGGATCACCTCAAGCCGCTGTGCTCGATTATCCGCTTTTACAAAGTAGGAAGTCATATAGCGCAATGTCCTCAACTTGCTATCTCAAAAACTCTTTCTTCCATGTAGCCAGAATGCCTCTTGGCAACACCACCAGTGGTCTAGCATGGGGATACTTGGCCAGAAAACTCTGCATAAAACTAATTGTCATGAAAGCTTTTCCAGAGCCTGGAGCGTGGGCCATGATGTAGCCACCTGGATTCTCTGTAACCAAGTTACTCAGTAGAAAATTGAAGCCCTCAACTTGATGGGGTTTCATCTGCTTTTTGTGCCTGGGATGGATGAGTAGCAATTTCAGTGACATCAAAATCCTGTCCACATAATTTAGCCCCATCATGAAATATTTCAGTTGCTTCCTTGTCCTTATAGTCCAGCCTCCATAAAAGTATGTACATGTACACCTTGTGCCCTAAATCAAAAAGAAAATGAAGCAAATTAGTCAAAGAAAATCCAATAGGGAGAAAATCAGTAGCTTCATACCTACAAAAAAAAAGTTACGAAGAAAATTAAGAAACTAGTAAATTAGCAACATTGTAAAGCTACTAAACATATAAAGAAAATTGGTAGCTCCATACCTACTTTACTTATTCTGTCCTATGCACTACAAGTTTCTCTTTCAGTTGTATGATTTATTTTCTTGGAGCTGTTTGCTTAATCAAGAGTTCTTGTTTGCATGGTAGGATTTACAGCTACGCTAGGGCTTATGTTGTATTTGTTGTCACTGTATAGGTCCAAACTTACTCAGAATGGGTAATAAATGGAGAGTATGATTGGCCTCCTAAATGCTGCCTATGTGATCCTGTGATTGAAGAGGGGACCAATCCTCAAACTATTTGATTGGGTTGCTTGCGTATGTGATCCTGCACATTGTTAAACCTCATGCATGCAATTTTTATCTTGAATGAGAGCTGAATGAATTATACCAAATTACTTACATTTTTTTGGGTTCATATTAGATATTATAAATACAAGCTGCTTGGGTTCACATATTAAGGTTTTTCCTCCACACACTACTCCAGCTGGATATACTTGTCCTGCTTGTCCCAACCCGGCATGACTTTTTCTTTTTATTTTTATGGAAGCTGACCAAAGTTTTATTTATTTCCATTCATTTCTTTTGTTTTTTAATGAACTTATCATGGTTGCATTCCTTTATTACTCTCTTGTCATGTACCTTCAAACAGTTAGGTTCATTACTACTTTTTGTTGAAATTTCCTAACACAAGTATGCATGTATCGTATTTGTGTTTTGTTTTTATTGTACCAGAAGCTTCAGATAAGAAGGGATTCATGCTAGTAGTGAACTAGTGATACTTGTTGATTTACGTGTAAGAAAATATAATCACTGTGAATCTTGAGAAATTGACAATCATATCTGAAAGTAATCACGAGGGAGTATACAATTGTAGATTAACTATGCTCCAGAATCTAAAAAGCCTTGTCTGAGGCAACCCAAGGTATCAACCCAAAGCCTCATTTTGAGGCTGAATTTAAACCACTCACTGCAATAAATAGTAGCAGATAATCAGATCAATTGTGATGGCTCCATTGCTGTCAATTATTTTTTCATTTAGTACGAAGTTTTGAGTTTTTTTTGATATGTATGACTCAAAATACTTCTTTTTTATGTCTATTTTTTCCCTTTTATTGCTTTAGATTCATACAATTGATGAAAATCAATTTTCATCGTAGATTTCCTTCTTAAATTTATCATATAGCTTTAATTGAGTTGTGAATATTTTTTTAAGCTTTTTACAAAATTTCAGAAAAGTAAAAGATGAGGAATGCCAATTTTCTGTTGACCAAAGTTAATCTGTTGAATAGAAGATGATGCCTTTATTTATGTTTTGGGAAAAAACTTTAAAGCCAGCTCCACCACCCCCTAGTTTTATGTAACAGTCTATATTAGAGAATGTGTACAACACTCAACAAATGGTTTTTACACTTAATTGACATATTTCACTCTGATTAATATCTCAAATATGTAGTAGATATCTGAATGAGACAGTTTTGTGTGTCTTTGATGGTTATGCCTCTTACTTAATGGCTCATATGCTTATTTCTTGAGCTCAACAGGTGCAAGAGAAGAAAGTGAAGAAAATTTCTGACATGAACATTGACCCTTTTAAGGCTGTTGGAAATGGCGGTGTTACCAGTTCAAGTGGCTCTTCTACCCCTACACCATATCTTGCAAATGGAGAAAATGCAGATAAATCTTACCATTCTTTGAGCAATGACTTCTCATTCCCACCAAGGGGCATTTCGTCGCTATATTTACCTACGGTAGTTGTACTCATCTTTTTTTGGTTATTTTCCTGCAGTAATAATAGTTTTCAAAATAAATAACGTAGTATCAGTGTCTTAGATTATGCCATCATTTCAATATTTTTTTTTTTGGGGTGAATAAGACATAAATAAAATTAGAAAATATACAAATTTACAAGGGGTATGCCCCAGGCCCTACCATAACTATACAAAGCCACACATCAAGGAACTACTCCTCACTTAAAGCCCTCAAAAAAAAAACAAACGTGCCTACAGCCATACATAGTTCATATATATCTAAGATGTTCAACAGCAACCATATCCTAATAGAATAGGGGTCCTGTACATCTTTAGACCAAAAATGGGAAGCATCATATGGGATATAAAGAAATCGCCCCCCCTGAAAACAAGAGCTATAGTGATTAGGCATGGAGAGCTCCACAGTAGTCACCGTAGCTTCATCTAGTAAGACTATACCAAGATGGCAGCAGTTTAACCATAATGTAAATACATTCAGCACACACAAGCTGCTAGCTAATTCCCAAAAGATAATAATTCTCCTACACAACCGGTAGGAGTAGGCCACAAACCTCAAAATATGATAGTCTATACCAGTCAACAAAGGTTTATATAAAACATAATTACAACTGTAGAATAAACTAAAACTAAAAGCATGACTAGGCGCAAGCTGCTGCCACCACCAAGTTTTAGTTCCTTTGGATAGGCACAGATTGCAGCCACCTCCAATCCACCAGACCAGGACTTTAGTTATCCAAAAGGTCTCCATATAACTAGCAAAACACAGCTGCAGGATTACATGGAAGAAGTACCCATCTCCTGGATGCATATGTAATATGGAATCAATCAACATAACCTGCCAGTAATGAAGAATGAAATAAGTATTAGCAAAAATGAGGTAGTATAGATTACATAATAGCATTAGGTTACAACACACAATACATGGTCTCACAACACTCAACCCACACTTTAGAATCTCAGTACTCTCTGTGATAGCTTCCTTAACCTGCAAATAAAGATGTACTTGATAAATAGAGATTAGTGAACCACTCATATATTGGCTGACTGCACTCAATCCACAGTATATACACTCAAATCTTTGGAGATATTTCATTTTAAGTATGTTTCTTACAAAACTCAACCCTCAAAATCTGCTATAGAGCTCCTCAAGCTGCTGCACAAGTTAGCAAACAATTAGAATAACACACATTTTTGCTGACCTTCACTCAACTCTCATTTAGAAAACTCACATCACTCGACAGTCTCCATAACTGATCATATGGGCTTTAAAACAGTCACAGGTTGGTTCTAATGAGCAAGAAACCAGCCATCACCTGTGGATCTAGGCAGATTGTTAATAGACAAAAGTCTCCCTCTTATCATATGAATAATAGATTTAATGACCAGGTACTAGATTTAAAGAGTTCATGCTGTGATTGATAAGTTTGCAGAGCGAGGGTTACGATCTCTTGCAGTAGCTTACCAGGTACTATACTATTGTCATTATTTGCTGGCCATTCTCTCTACTACTCTACTCAACACAGATGTCTTTTTGAATTAGCTATTACTCAGTAGGTAATGGGCTATTTTTAACATTTTCAACAGGAAGTTCCTGATGGATGGAAGGAGAGTTCAGGAAGTGCATGGCAATTCATAGGCCTCATGCCTCTCTTTGGCCCACCTCGACATGACAGTGCAGAGACAATTACAAGGGCTTTGAATGTGGGGGTAAATGTTAAAATGATCACTGGTGTGTATATTCTTTTTCTTTTTCATTCTTTTTGATAAATATTTCTTTCTGTTTTGCTGTTGAATACTCCCGGTCAGTGCTTTTAATCGGATCTGTTTAATCATTACAAAAAAAAAAAATTATGAGATGAAAAGATAGATATTACTCCTACCAGATATTTGTGGCTGCAGAGTTCAAGTTATTGTTAGTGTGGGCGCTTATTATTTTAGTTCATGGCATTATGCCATTAAAAAAGTCTTGTTGCATCTTTTTCTTTTTTTTTTCCAGAATTCTGTTTCTTAAAAATTTCATCTCTTTCTCACTATCTCCAATTATAGGAAATTGGCCTTTTTCATTTATTTTGTTTTTCCCTATTGGCATTGACCTTTTCAATCTCCACTAGGTGATCAACTGGCAATAGCAAAGGAAACAGGACGGCGATTGGGAATGGGAACCAATATGTATCCTTCATCTGCCTTGTTAGGACAACACAAAGATGAGTCAATTGCAGCTTTGCCAGTTGACGAGCTGATTGAAAAAGCTGATGGTTTTGCTGGAGTTTTCCCTAGTAATGTTTATTTAATTTTTTTATCTTTCATTCCTCCTGTAAGTCGAAGATATTTTTTCTACTTTTTGGTTAACTATATCTAAACCTAGACCCTAGGCATAGCTTCCAAGTGAGAAAGGTTTGATACCTTAACTCCTTTAAGGAGGAAGCTAGACCACTTGGCCTAAAGACCAATCTGTTGGTAGTTTTTTTTTTTATGTAATACGTTTCAATTGTTGCATACACAACAGAATACTGAATTACCAGCACTGAATGTTCACCGAGATCTTCTTCTGTGATTCTTGTTTGATTGGCCATGTTTTATTTGTTGGTACAGAGCACAAATATGAGATTGTAAAACGTCTGCAAGCTAGAAAACATATATGCGGAATGACCGGTGATGGAGTTAATGATGCTCCTGCCCTTAAAAAGGCTGACATTGGCATAGTTGTTGCTGATGCAACTGATGCTGCTCGCAGTGCTTCTGACATAGTCTTGACTGAACCTGGACTTAGTGTTATCATCAGCGCCGTACTAACTAGTCGAGCTATCTTCCAGAGGATGAAAAATTACACGGTAAGTAGAGCTGGCTCTAGGCCTAGACAAGTAGGCAGCCATTTGAGAGTCCTGTACATTTTCAAATGGTGAAATGGTACAGCTTTTATTATCTAGGAGATGTGTGTCTTATTTGTTAACTTTATTTTCTTTTGAAAAAAAAGGAAAAGAAGGGAAATGTTATTCCTACTCCACTTCTTTATAAACACACTCTAAAATTTGTCTTTTAGTGTGCATTGAGCCATAGGTATCAAACATATCTTTGTTAGCCAACTGTTGCAGATTAATAAGTCCGCAAAGCATGATAGCAGTAAACATTGTCGTACAAATGTTTACTGCTATCATGCTTTGCGGACTTATTAATCTGGCCTGACAAAGTTACCTTATTTTATTGAACTAATGTGATTTTTTTGGGTAGCTGTAACCCTTGGTTTTCGTCCTTCTATTCTGTCCGAGTCTCTTAATTTTTTAATTTTTTTTTGTGAATCATTGGCATGTTTGATTATCTCAGTTTGTATTTTATCATGATTAGCTGACATGTTGTGTTTTGCGAGGTTTAGATACAAGAGAAGAAATTCAGCTCGGCATATATGCACATTAAAGAGTTTTTGATTTCCTTCCTTCTATAGATACATGCTTCGTAAGTTATAATTGTATTTTTGTCTCATATGTTCTGGCAAACTTATTGTGAGTCCTTGGGTGATACTTCAGGTATATTGAATTTTATGATGCAATGTCCATGCCAATGCCTATAGCTCTCTCTGGCCACCTACTTTTCGGACAACCTTTAATGGTTAAACCATCAGAAGCTGAAAAGAACCTTGTTCAAACTAATGCTTCTGGTGGTGGTTCAGTCGTGGGATCCTATGGTGCAGTTGATAGAAAACTGTATGTGGGAAATTTACACTTCAGCATTACAGTATTTCAGCTTAAACAGGTAATATGACTTCCACTACTGAATGTTTTCCATTTTAGCTTGTTTAAATATTACCATTGCTGTTAAAGGAGGAAGAAGGTGTAAGATTTGCTGGAAAATGCCATGTGTGGTGGATGGGAAATTAAATAAATAAACCTCAAAAATGAAAGAAAAAAATGAGCTCTTAGAAGCATCACTAATGGTGAGTGCTTATTAACAGATGATGTAAAAATATAGTAATATGCTGTATTTCCGCGGTAAAATAGAGTATCTTCAAAGACCAGGGGAATACCATCTATGTTCTCGAAGACAACAATAGTCAAGCAAGCTGCTTTATAAAGATAACACAGGTTGAGTTGTGATGGTTGTACTAGATGATGTGTGATGTCTCACAGGGAGCTGTAGATGGGTCAGTGTTCCAGACATTCTGGTGGCCTGTAATGGACAGCAGATGCATCATTTGCCAAAGCCTTGTCAGTAATGTTAGGGAAATTTTTGGAAGTGGCCATTTATTGAGAAAGGGAGGTAGAGTTTGCTTAAGAATCCAGAGATGTAGGTGGAGGTGGTTGGCTTGTGGTGGGGGAAATGCTCAAGGAGTTCAGTGGGGAGGTTAGAAGCTGAAGGATGGGCTGCCAAAAATCTTTTTGGGAGGGTGAAGAAAGGGCAGCAGAGGACAGAATATGAGTGAAGGTGGATGAGGGATCTTGTAGGTGTACAATGTCTTTCATATGGAATGGTCAAGTGGGTAGGTTTGGCAGAATGGGTTTGTCGTTGCTGAAGAAGGTAGAGCTTTAAAAATGGGTAAACAATGTATGGAGGGTACCATAAGGAGCTAGGGCAACAATGCTCAGTACTGCATGCTTTTTTTTTTGAGTTACCATCACTGTTAGCTAAGAAGCATGAGCATGAACATGGACATGGGCCATATTATAATATTTAATGAGTTTTTTGGTTTGGGTTGCACTGCCCCTACCAGCCCCTTTGTCGGTCTATCTCTGCCCACCACCAAGGTGAGAGGTCTTTTGTCCTCTATGATGCTTGCTTGGTACTATTTGGCCTCCAATTTCCCTAGCCATAGAAGGCAAGTCTCCATGCCTCATAGTTTCATGCAGACTTGACACATAGAACGATTGAACAAAACTATTCTCCAAGGTAAATTGAGCTTGTCATGCTGAGGGTGATAGGAGTACTTGCCAAGTGCTGGTAATAAATCAATGGCGTTGGTGGCTGGGGAGAGAAGTGCCATCTGTCTATGATGTGCATGAGATACTGCAGGATTGGTAGGAAACCGTTGTCGGAGTTGTAGTATGCTTGTGGGGAACTGTCTGGGTAGTATTTTTTTTGATCGGCAAAAAGAAGACTTTATTGATGGAATATGGAAAATTACATCAATAAAGAGGAGCTTGGAGCTAAATCAAGCTCCAACCTCCTAGTTGGTCAAAAACCAACGAGCAAACAAAATAGAGAGAAAAGAAAACCAGGAAAAGCAGATATGTGAGGCAAGAGAGCACGAAAACCAGAACAAACAACACAGCACACCTTTAGGCACCCATCAGATCAGACCCTGCACCAACCCTTCGAAACACCAAAGCAGAACAGCAGCCCTTGAAGCACCAAAACAGAACAGATAGAGCAGAATTTGCCTTGAGCTACATTGCCACACCTTGCCTTGAACAGCAGCAGCCCTTCAGCACCAATCAGATCACACTCCTTTAGGCACCAAACAGAGCAACCTGATCACCAAGTTGAGCTGCAAGAACAAGGGCTGGCCTCCACAATTGACCTTCTTGTGCACATTGTAAAGCCTCTCTTATTCTACCAGAAACCAGAAGCTTCTGGACCTGAAAGGAAGTAGTAGTAGCCTGAATCTCTCATTCAGGTGGCAAGTTCTGCAAGCAACAACTAAAAGCACCATATTCACTAGCATTCCTCTTCTCTTGGCAGATGCAAAGAGCTTAGCTACAGCAGATCAACGAGCAAACAAAACAGAGAGAAAAGAAAACCTGGAAAAGCAGATATGTTAGGCAAGAGAGCACGAAAACCAGAACAAACAGCACAGCACACCTTTAGGCACCCATCAGATCAGACCCTGCACCAACCCTTTGAAACACCAAAGCAGAACAGCAGCCCTTGAAGCACCAAAATAGAACAGATAGAGCAGAATTTTCCTTGAGCTACATTGCCACACCTTGCCTTGAACAGCAGCAGCCCTTCATCCAAACCACACACCAAGATTTTAAACCCGCACAACTGTCTGGGTAGTATGATACCAGTATGGTACTGCCCTTATAATACATGCTCTTTGCTTGGTACTTTATAAACCCTATTTACTTGGTACTTATTCTGGATCTTATTATATACTTGTTTGGCCATGTGAGATGCAGGCTTTTTATATAGGGTTGACCCACCACTACTAGAAAAAGGGAGCTTTAGCCATAGAACTTTTTGCGATGGTTTAAAAATTGTCGCAAAAAGCAAGTATTTGCAATGGCAAATGAAGCTGTTGCGAAATTTTTTGTGACGGACTGATTTCCGTCGCAAAAGCTACACATTTGAGATGGATAAAATAATTCGTCGCTAATAGTATTTGTTGGGACAGAAAATGACCGTTGCTGATAAATGAGAAAAAGGCGTTATCATTAGCAACAGAAACAAATTATCCGTCGCAAAAGGATTCATCAATTGTAACAAATACTAAACCGTGGCCAAATTGCCTTAAACTTAACTGAAAAATTGCATTTCGGGAGGGAAAAACTTGGCAGAAACTTGTTTGGACATGCAACATATGATTACGGCTATAATTATACAATTTTGAAAATATAATATACATTCGAGTTTTATATAATTTTCTTTTATAATTTGAAATGATGATGTTATTCAATCAATACTAATGGTTAATTTTATTTTTACAAATGGTTTTTGGCGTGAAAAAGTGGATATTCTTTATTTTTGTACGGAGGACATTGTTTTTTTTATAATCCGTTATTATGTTGCCCTTCGTTTTTTTTTTTGGATTACTATTATTCATACAGATAACTATTGGCATGGTACAAATTGCTTTTGGCATAGAATATATTACTTTTGGCATGGTATAGATTATCATTTGACATGGTATTGTGGATTTTTTTTTTTTTTGTGTACGGTACACATGATTTTTGTATGATCCTCTGTTTTGTATAAAATTATTATTTTAGGTTGGATTATGCTTGATTCGTATGGAATTTCTATTATATTTCGAATTTGATGCTAAAAGTTAAATTTTCTTGGATTGTTATTATTTTCTTTATATACAAGGTACAGGTTGCACAGAATAAATACAGGTTGTGGCGAAATAAATATATATATATATATATATGTGTGTGTGTGTGTATAAAGATAAAATTAAAAATAAAAAAAGAAAAGAAAGTTTTTGATGAATAAACATTTAGTAGCTAAAAAGAAGTGAAGTTGTTGGCAACTAACCAATTCGTAGCCAAAAAGAAATAAAGGCTTTTGCGCGATTAAATATTTGATAGCCAAAATAAAGAAAATATTTTTGGTGTCTAAATTATTTGTAGTAAAAAATAAAAATAAGATGAAAAATAATTTTTTTTGGGTGACTAAATATTTAGTAGCCCAAAAAATTTGAAGTTTTTGCCTACTAAAAATTTAATCGCCAAAAAAATTGTCGATATTTTTTATGACTAAACATTCTAAGGCACCAAAAAAGCTACAATTTTGTTGCCTACAAAAAAGCTTAGTTGCTAGCTAAAGGAGTCAATTAGATGTTTGGCTACAAAATTAATTTGTCGCTGATAATGGAAAAAAGAATTGGCGACTATATTTTAATCACTAAATAAAACATAGTAGTCATAAAATTTATCTACGACTAAAAATTTAGTTGATTAAAGTTCAAATTAAATTTATAAACAAAATTATGGCGACTAAATTATTAGTCGACGAATGGTATTCTTTGGCTACTAAAATAATTTTAGTCCCCAATACTTTTCCCGACAATTAGTCAATGACCAATTGGGTGATAATTTAATTGGGAATTACATTCGTCGACTAAAAATGATTTTTAACAATTAAAAATTTAGTTTTCAAATGTGCAATTTCTTATAGTGCGTAACTAGATTGAAGATAATTCATAGTGTCAATAAAATTCTAAATGATAATTTTTATATTTTTTTGCAAAGTATATATTATTTAAAATTTATTATCATAATTTTGTGGTGTTGGTGTAAGAGGCGGTACCCTTTGTCCAATCCATTTGAATCCAATTATAATTGAGTTTGTAGGATAAAAGTCATTTAAATTATGATGAATTTCTCACATAAAATTACATAATTATTTAATGCTAATTGAATTTGTAATCCTCGTCATCGTTATCATAAAACATACCATCATTTTAAGTAGTGAAATTTCATTATCTTTAAATAGTGAAATTTAACCTTATTGTTTAGGTGAAATTATTGAAAAAGTGAAATTTCTACTAAAGAAATAAAAATTACAAACTTAAAGGTAAAGATGAAGTAGCGAGTAAATGGAAAACTTATGAGTTAAAGAGAGATGTCATCAATGGATTCGTTGGAAAACAAGTGATTGTCACTATCATTTAAGTTAGCTAATGATAATTTAATTTTCTTAATTAATTTATTGTCTAATTAATCCTATAATGTGTGTAATTACCAAAATTTTACTTTAATTTGAAATTTCCTCTCAAAATTTAGGACTCTCCAAGTTTTGCCCCTAAGCCCTCATACATTTCGAAGAGTATTTTGTGTTGGTACTTCATATTTATGTTTGTTTGATCAATTGCAAATATATATTCGTTTGTTCGCCTTGCTCACTTTCTTCCTCCCTTCTTTAAGGTTTTTACCAAGCTCCCTCTAGACTTATCGATCCAATACAAGAAAATGCACTTTTAGCGACCACTTTGTCTCTCTCGCTTATCACTCTGTCTCTGTTTATCTTCTCTATCTGTCTCTCACTCATCTCTCTCTCACCACACATCTCGTCTACCACCTTCACCACTACTGCAAGTCATTCCACTACCACCACTACTACCACTGTTGCCACTCCACCTCTACGACTATCATCACTACCACCATTAGCACCACTCCACTACCACCACCACCACTACTGCCACTACTACTACCATTACCTCTCCTCCATCTCCTCTACCACTACCACAACTTCTGTTTACACATCACAAATTTCTCTGGACACATCATAGAGAAATTTTATTGGGCATCTTGATCTCGCACGTCTCTAAACATCGAAAGAAATTAGTTGAACCCTTCAGATGCAGCCTCGTCGAAGATCCACAGTAGCAAGTTACTAAACGAATTCATATTTGTCGACGGAGGAATCTTCATTGGAGGACTAGTGATCGGAGGAATAACAATGAGGACTAGTGCTCTACTTCATGTAAATCTTGCTGTATAAAGCACTATCAGGAATCTTCATATAAATCGATGATCTTCATTTGCAAAGCTTTATAAATGTTGTTTATGCAAATTCCTCCATCGTAGTCAATGCTAATGAAGCTCTGAACAATGTTGCGAATGAAGAGCAAAGAGAGAGGAGTTGTTTGGTGCAAGAAAAAAAAGGAGAGAGAATGAGAGAATGTGTTATATATATGGGTGTGAGTGAGGGACCTTAGACTACAAAAAAAAAAAAATTATTGTGGACCTCTCCCATTACTAAAAGTTAGAGAGGGAAAAATATCTATGAATACAAAAAATAAAAAAATAAATGTTTTTTTTTTTATATTTGGTGTAATTTTATTTTTTTAATGAGATTTATACTTTTAAATGTATCTAAATTTTATAATTTTAAATATATCTAGATTTCTACTTTTACCCCTATTTTACCAAATAAAAAAAGAATAATTTTTTTTCAATAAAATAAAAATGAAACAAATAAATTTTTAACTTTAGTAACCTAAAAAAAATAAAAATAAAAATCATTAACTACAAAAAAAAAAAAGAAAATTTATTTATTCTTTTTTCCCGCGCATGAATTCCCCCCCTCTTGTCACCATCTCAAATCCCCAATACCTAACCTAACACTCCCTCTCACTCTCCTCTCTTTTATCTCTTCCGCCTCCTACGTCGTCGGCTCTGGTGCCGCCCGCGGCGACCACCATTGCCGCCGCCACACCTCCTCCCTCACCGCCCTCTCTCTCTTCTCCTATTCTCTTCACCGGTCGTCTACTTCGTCTTCTCCACTCTCGTCGTCGGATCCAAAACCCTAACCCTACCTTCGATCTTCTCCAATCCCTCCACAAGCCATATGTTCAAATCCAGACCCTACACTCCCCTCAACTGTTTTAGAACCTTTGTCTACAAAGGACTATCGTCGAACTCGTCAGAACGGCGATCTCAAACGGGTTGATTGTGATGAGAAAGACCAGGTGGCGAGGCGCATTAACGCGTCAGAAACGAAATCAGAAGATGGACAGTTCATCTTTGCCCTAAATTTTCTCTTCATTTCTGCTCAAATGTGAGTATGATATAGTCGTCCTCAATGTGGGTTTCTTGGGTTACTGGTACTAGTCTTAACTGTGCACTTTATGTGTTTGTCTTAAATGTATTATAATATATATTTAGCAAGAAATGCCTGCTTAAAATTAATTATCCAATGCATTGCATGAGTCCAACACTAGTTTTTAAGGCTCTGCAAATTGTTTTGTTGATAAAATATTTTGGCGTGTTCCATAGATTTGTGATCAAATTAGGGGAAAAAGAACATCTTTACACGTTTGTTTTGCATTTCTTAGTGGACCACCATGTGCAGCAGCACAATAATATTTGAGAATAGTCGAAGATACTATAACCTCTCCATATGCAGCAGCATAATAATTTTCAGCATAGTACAATGAATTTGAGAAGCATATACTACAGGCCACATTATCTGCCGACCTACCTTCCTAAAAAAAAATTGTTCATTTTAATTGTTGTTAAAATTATTATAATTTTATTTGGTAAGGTGATTGTTTTGTTGGAAACAACATGCCTATGAGTTCTGCTCACATGGAACCCAACTTGCCTTTTTCTCCAGTTTTTGAGGCCTACGGGATTTCATACTAATTATGTGATACAAAGAATGCTCCAAGCTTTTGCAATATGAATACAAAAAGAAAAAAAAAAGTCCTTTGCATGGAATTTAAAAACTATAGAAAAGTAATAAATAATAATAATCATAGAAAACACAAACAGAGAAAAAAAAAACTTGGGTTTTGGTTAAAGGCAAGAGAGGCTTTTGGAACATATTATCGAATTTAACTTGAATTGAATTGGATGCACATGGCTGATATTAGATAATGATATCCCTAACATTTCCAGCCCAGTAATTACGAGGCCCCCTTTTCGCTCCTCCTCTATTCCTTTTGTAATTTTCATTATCTATATAATTTTGAGTTCAAAATGGAACAGTTTGTTAACATCATTTGGTCGTAATCGTTCCCATCTGCTAGCCATTCAGATATTAATTTCAATTTCTTCATTCGTGTATGAACAATTTCTTCAAGTACTTGTAGTTGTCAATATATATGCATGACACATAAACCTCAAACAATTGAAAGTTATATGCTTTACATTCACCCACAAATTCATAGTTAACTGACAAACTGATTGAAACTTCTCTGTGAATTACCTGTTGTACAGTGGCAGTTATGAGGACAATATGGTAGTACTGAAGCAGGAGTCTCAATTTGCAAAGGCAAATGATTGTAGTTTCAGTCGAGTAATATATCTTTAATTACCAAACTAAAACTAAATATTGTTATTGCCAATGTGATTCAAAAACTTAAAAGTGCTATATTTTTTACTTCAAATTTGTTTTATATGCAGTTTAGTCTGCAAATAGAACAACGAATTCCCGTTCTATCCAGGTGGCTGATCTTCAACCGATTCAAATTTACTGCATCAAAGGGAGTTAAACTTGGGCCAGCATTTGTCTTCACAAGGTGAGCATAATAAGAAGAATCATGCAGGAAGTAAGGAAGCATAAAAAACACTCTTTAGAATTCTTTTGATTAAACTTTATAATCGACGTATAGTAGCTACTAGCTACTAGCTAGGGACTTGGAAGTTAAGAAGTAAAAGAAAAGAAAGGATTATGCCATGAGAAACACAACTAAAGTGGAAGATATTGTTATTCTCAAAATAGAATTCAATATCAAACTAAACAATTTTCTTTTGCAATACATAAATTTGCTGTTAACCGCTGGGTATGCTTTTGAAGGGTGATTCCTGACCCTTTTTCAAACTTCACAAAGCCCGTTATGAAACATAGTGCTTTACTTGCATTTGCAATATGTTTCCTGTAATTAGTAAATGATCTGAAAAGTGTTTTTTTTTTGGGTGCAAAATTTATATCTTTTTCTTTGATAGCTTGACAGGTGGCTTAATGATGAAGCAAACAAAATCTCCACCTTTCCCTTCTATTTACTTTACTGTTTTGGGTGATCTAAGAAGCACAAATACATCTAAAAAAGTGTTGTGCCTGTGTTGAATACATGTTGGACACGTGTCCAAACATGTTATATTATTATTATTATTTAAATTTTTTTAGATACAGATAGTTGGACACGCTTTGGACACTTGGGGAACACACTCATCCATCACTATGAAACACCTTACAAGTTTGATGAAAGTAACTTGGGATTTAATGATAGAGAAAAACAAGAGAGATTTACACATATTAATCCTTACTCCTTTAGATTTTTCCTAGAGTTATGTAGGTCAAAATCTGAGCTACATTTTTTTTTTGTATGTCTCTTCCGAATTTTCTCCAACCTAGAAGGTTAAGTTTCTCATATTCGATCGGAATTTTAGGTGAAGTAGCTGTGTATCAGTTAGTTATCATGAGCATACCACTAACTTTTGGTGTACCATTCTGGATTTATAATTTATAAACATTAATTTGTCAATTGTTGTGGATTTATATATAGGAGTCTTTAATACAATTTAAAAAAAAAAAAATAGTTAAACATTTTATCAATTTTTCCTAGAGTTATGTAGGTCAAAATCTGAGCTACATTTTTTTTTTTGTATGTCTCTTCCGAATTTTCTCCAACCTAGAAGGTTAAGTTTCTCATATTCGATCGGAATTTTAGGTGAAGTAGCTGTGTATCAGTTAGTTATCATGAGCATACCACTAACTTTTGGTGTACCATTCTGGATTTATAATTTATAAACATTAATTTGTCAATTGTTGTGGATTTATATATAGGAGTCTTTAATACAATTTAAAAAAAAAAAACAATAGTTAAACATTTTATCAATTTATACAATATATTCTTTAAGAAAATTATAAAAAAAAAAAACACCACTATCATATTCTATACATGCCACTATCCTTCACCAACACCACTATCATATTATATACATTAACACAAATTTCCAGCATAATTTTAAATTTTTGAATGAGGCAAGTTGAAGTGAATGTTTGTGGATGCATGTGGCTGTTATTACCAAAAATATAATTAGAAAATAGTTAGGGAACACTTTTATAAAATTTCACATCACTCATACATAGCAAATTGGTGAGGTTCTTCAAAATCTTGACTATATATGCATTTGTGTGGGCTTTGATGAACTGATATATATATAGATTTGTGTGTATTTTATGGATGTATTTTATGCATTTATATATATATAGGACTAAGATGATGTTGAATTGCATGCTAACATTTCAATTATTTTTCTTTATTCAGGTCCTATATTAAATTGGGCCTGAACATTTAGTTGGACCTTTTTACTGGTTGTAAATTTCCATTTTCCCCTGTCGTTTTCATCTAGGTTTGGGATGAGTTTTATCAGATTTTGAAACTATTTCTTAGTTTTCTTTTTCTCTTTTTCCTTCCAACTTACTACATGCCAAGAAGGGTATAATTTATTTTCCGAGCAGCAAAATATCCTCATTGCAACCAATGGTCGTACCAGGTCATTATCAATTGCTGTAATTTGACTATGAAAAATTATAGATATGATGCCAATAATATGATTTGTGGTACCCTGTAATATTTTAACCAACAATAATGTTATACTTAAGCACTTCGATTATTCAATATGTGGCATTCCATCAGAGTTTTTTTTGAAGATTGAGAGTTTTGATTACGAAGATGAAGAGGGCTAGAGATGACATGTACATGGCTTCTCAACTCAAACGCCCCATCGTCTCCTCTCGCGCCGAACCGTGAGTCCTTTCTCTATCTCTCTCTTAGTTTGTTTTTTTTTAACTCTCATTTTTCTAATATTGTGATATTGTAAGCTGTAATTATGAGTGCTTCTTTATTTAATAAGAAATTGTAAGCAAGTAAAATTTCTGAAAATTTGGTGAATCATGTTTGAAATTGTTGAGTGCGAGTCTGTTAGTTATTTACTGATTAGGTATTTTGTTTGGCTTCGGATTTTAAACTTCAGTATTTTTGTTTTTCATTCTTTTACTCAGTATGTTGTTCCTTCAAGGAGAACAAAGATCTGATTTTTGTTGAATTTTTCTTTATAAAATCTGTCTGAAGTTTGATTATATATCTAGGGTTGAAGATAAAAATAGGAATTAAGACCCATCTTTGTTGAAAGAATATATTTTGACCTAAGTTTAATGTTTAATGAAATCTCTCACCTGATTAAATTAGTATATTGATTTTTTTTTAATTTTTTTATTTGGTGTGGGTAATGAAGCTCTGGGCAATCCCAGATGATGGGTGGAGCGAGCACACAGAAACTAACTACCAATGATGCATTGGCATATCTCAAGGCAGTTAAGGACATATTTCAAGATAAAAGGGATAAATATGATGAGTTTCTTGAAGTTATGAAAGGGTTCAAGGCTCAAAGGTTTGGTCATTTATTCCTTCTTTTACTTCCAGAATCTAAATAAAGTTCTCATTTAAACAATGTTAATAAAGTTCATATATCCTCTTTCTCAAAACAAAAGTTCATTTAAACAATGCTGTAGTCCAAACTCCAATGACATGTTATAAATTCTTAAGCGCCATTTTATTATGCTCTTTATATAACATGTCACTATATTAGGCTTTGATAGGAGACCCGAGAAGAACAATCCAAGTTGATCTTTTGGAGTTCCAAAAATTTCTGAAGTGCAGTTGCTGCAGCAAAAGTGGCAATATTATCCGTTATAGTTTCACCCATGTGTTATAAATTAAATGTTAGGTATTGAGATATTATTAAACATTTAATCAATGTAGTATATCATAACATTTAATCAATTAAAACTAAATGTTGTCTGCTATGATACCATGTGAAGTTATTTGGGACCAATTCATTTAAAGGCTTAATTGTTTTAGAGAGAGGTAATTTTATTTAGCCTTTCTGCACATCCCCCTTTATTTTTAGTGATTTGTTGTGCCTTTGGGTTGAATACCTGCGTTGTGTTGACAATATTACTCATTTATTTATCAAGATTTCTTGGGTGCGTGACATGATATGGATTCTTCTTTGTTTAGTCGCTAATGGGTTGAGATTAATTTTATGGGTTTTAGAGTCCTTAGCTGTAGTATCGTCGCTCTGATGATGCAGTGTCAATGTATCATTTGAAGAAGATGAACTGGTCACTTGGGGTTGTAAATTAAATTATAACTTGACAGAGCAGGATCGAAAAAACGAAATCGATTCACGTAGCCAATCCCAATTGATTGTAACATAAGGCTTAGTTTGGTTTGATTAGGTTTCTAGGTAGATGATTAATTTGGCTAAGCGAAGAAAATTATTGCTCATGTTTATCTGTTTTACTCGACTTTTAGTCTAAAATTCTATAACTTTTTTTTAATCAATGCTAATTTATTTATTTTTTTTGGGGGGGGTGGGGGAATGGTGCCAAATCAAATGGTGGATTTTGCCAGGTGCATTAGGCTGTTGTACCTTGCTTTGCTTCAGAAAAAGCAAGCATTGCCTGTCCGCAGGAGTTGTGAAAATATCCTAATTGGAGATGGAGGGTCAAAATAATATGACTGTGAGTTCACTGAATGCTCTTCAGCAGAGAAGTATGCACTCTTATTTCCTTAATATGTCGGAAGCATGCAATTAATTACATTGGCCTATGAAATTGGTTAAACTATGATTCCCTTTAGGCAATAGAGTCCAATCAAGTTATGAGGAGCAACTTTTAATTATTCGAATATATTTTTGGTTAAACTATAAAATATATTTGGTTAAACTATCAAATATATTTTTATAATTGCATTTTAATCTTAAATTTAAATAGTGTTGCGATTACAATTATATTATAATCCTAATATTATTTACACCGTGCCTTTAGGCACAGGCATATGCTAGTAACAGTATAACTTAGTGGTCTGATTTAGGATTTGTAATATAGAAATTAATTAGGGTTTGTATATATAACAGTATAACTTATATGTAATTTAGAAATTGATTTAGGGTTTGTGTGTATATATGACTTAGAGATTGATTTAGGGATTCTATTTAATTTTCTTTTGAAGCAAAAAATAAAATAAAATAAAATAATAATAATAATATGTTGTTGTTGTTGTTGTTGTTGTTGTTGATATATACTGAAAAGGGTATGAGCATTCAGAAAACCTTCTTCTTGTTGTTGAGGTTGAGGTCCAGTCTAAGCATTATTAATAGTACAAATGAAAATCAGTTTCGGATCAAACTGTAGTTAGGTTATATAAGCTACTTCATTAAAGATGGAAACAAAATGTTACTTTTTTGAACTCCTGAGCCCACCTGATCCATAACATAGATGTGCTGAAAAAGAACTGTAATCCACCTGATCCATAATATATGCCATTGCAAGAGACCGAGAAATGTTTATAGCATTTAATCTCTGCTCAGCAGTGAACCTGTACATTTCCAATTGGTTATCCTTGAATGCTTGAACTTCCCATGATTTCATATCCATATATGGAGGCAAAGCATAAGATTCCTCAGGCAAAGGGCAGTGTTTTATATCATGCTCTTCCCTTTCAAATTCCATCTTAGGAAGTTCAGCAACCAAAAAACCACCACAAATGGATGTTTCACCATAGGAAAAACCACGGCTCTGCACTCGGGAATAAATTCTGCCTACAATTCAAATCAACATCGTCCCTAAATTTAAATTAATGAAGAGTGATCAGGAACAACAAAGAATGGAGGTTCAACTTATATAGGCACAGAGTCAGAAAAATATCATGCTTGTTGATTTGAAATGGCAGCTTCTGCCACTCTTAACCCTGTTGGAACACTAAAATTACTGATTAATATCACAATATCAGCTGCATTAACTCTTTCCGTAGACAATCTTTGGCCTCCCATGAGAATTGAACTTAGAGTCCATTTCATATATTTCCTTCTCTTAGTATTGTTCCAATTCCAAGCTGCTAGTTCTACTAATTTATTTATTGGAGCTCAGTAATTGCTTAGATATTTGTAAACAAAAGTCTACGTGTCTGTATGTATATTAGATACAGAAAGAACTTCACCATGGTGAAACCTTAGACAATTGAGTGTCCCCATGCTGTAGGTGCCTTTTCCTGGACTAGAGTTGTATACTGTTTTTTTTTTTTTTTTGATAGAATTATATGGCCCTGCTTTTCAGACTGGGTATGCTTGTTCAAACTTCATTAGTCAGGCTGCTAGTTATCATGATGGTATAATATCAGATGTTCAATATTCTGCTATTTCAACTGAGTTATTTTGCTTTTGTTGATGTTGGTATAATATCATAAACCATTTGTTGTTCATGTTGGGATGGTATAATACCAAAGTGTAGCTCTTGTTTGCTTCCATTTAATTCATACCTTTCCTACTTTTTAAACAGTTTTGAGACTAATACACTAACTGATTGAGATTTGACTTCATATTTTTGTAGATGTCAACTTCAAATGCTAGCGGCAGTACCTCAGATCATTTGAAGAACAAAGTGTAAATGGACAACATACCAACCGTCACCGAACAACTTCGAAGTATGGGTGAACACTTGCAATTTCAAAGCGAACAACTTCAAATTCAAAGCATGCAGATGCAAAAATTGCAGACAGACTTAAATCGAAGTTGGTGTTGCATTTATGAGATCTTTTGCTTCCTTGTAATTATTGTTGTATTAGTTACGAATATGTAATAATTTAAATAACAGTTAGAAGTTGAAATAGATGATATGTATGAAAATTTATGATATATGACAGTTATTTTGGAGGAGTATAAACATGTAATCTGTTATCTGTTTGTTTGTTTGTTTGAAGAATGTTTGAACACAGGTTGTTAAAATTATGTTTGTTTGTTGGAGGAATGCTTGAACACGGGTTGTTATATGTTTGTTTGTTTGAGGAATGCTTCAACACAGGTTGTTACATGTTTAACGAATGCTTGTTTGTTTGAAGAATATTTTGACACAGGTTGTTATATGTGTGTTTGTTTGAAGAATGATTGCATAGGTTTTTTGTTTGAAGAATGATTGCACAGGTTTTCTAACACAGTTTTCTGCACAGATATTTTAAACACAGAATTTGAACACTAGTTTTTCAACACAGATTTTGAAGAGATATTTTGAACATAGCTTGTTCAAGACAGATTTTTTCACACAGGTTTTTGAAGACAAATTTTTTCCCTCAGGTTTTTTAGCACAGTTTTGAAGACAGATTTTTTTACACAGGTTTTTAGAGACAGATTTGCAGACTGATTTTTTTAACACAATTTTGAAGACAGATTTTTTCACACAGGTATTGAAAAAGTTTTTGGAGCACAGATTTTGTAACACATTAAATCCATTTCTGTATAGAGCAAGATAGCATATAACAACAAAACAATATCAAATTTTTATAAATTTCATAAATTATGCTCCATCAAATATAACAACAAAGCAACATTAAATTACTCCAACCACAAAATAAACTCCAACTTAAAATTACAAGTTTCCAACTAATGAAAACGAGACTCATTTCCGTCCATTTGTACATTGAAGTCAACAAAAGAAGACGGTTGCACTCCATAAATTTGATTCAAACCAATCTCCATTTCTGCTCATTCAAAAATACCATATGAAATCAATGATTTAATAGATTAATAGAATAACCTGTTTCATTACAATAGAATAACCTGTTTAATAGAATAATAGAATAAAAGAATAACCTATTTCATTACCAGTTACCCTTTCAATGATGCAAGCTCTTGTATGTTTCATTACAATAGATTATTCAAAAATTAACAATAGATTATAACATATGCGATTTCTTCAACAGGGGTGTTAATGAGGTTCATGAAGGTGGTTAAGGTTTGTTGAGTTTCAGCATGAAAGAGATGTAGCCTTTGAGGCAGGTCACCACTGTTCGAACCAATCTCCATTTCTGCTCATTCAAAAATACCATATGAAATCAATGATTTAATAGATTAATAGAATAACCTGTTTCATTACAATAGAATAACCTGTTTAATAGAATAATAGAATAAAAGAATAACCTATTTCATTACCACTTACCCTTTCAATAACAAATTATACCAGTCACCCTTTCAATGATGCAAGCTCTTGTATGTTTCATTACAATAGATTATTGAAAAATTAACAATAGATTATAACATATTACCCTTTCAAAAATTAACAGACTATAACAATTTATGTATGTTTTATACCCTGTATAAACAATATAATCCATCAATACTTAATATATTATCAACCATTCAACAACGTGCACACATTTCACTTCCAACCATCCAAAAAATTTATATTCAACGTCCAATTCTAAATGTAATACAAATTCCATACGAACCAAGTATAATTCAACCCCAATAATTTAATTCCATACATAATAGGGGATTAACCAAATTTAATATCAAAAGGAAATCTATACCACACCAAAAATTTATTCTGTCCTCTCATTAGTGCCAAAACTATCACTATGACTTTCCCGAAAAATCTGGGAAGTAGTTTCTCGAGCAAATCTAGTCACACGAGAGAATTTCTCCAATACTTGCATTGAAAGATCTCGAGCAGGATCCTAAACCTTTTGCATCCGCCTCCCATTGTTTTGTATATGACTGCCACTTCCATCAAAGGCACCTCCATCAGTCCTCTCTGAATTATCAATTGAGGTGCACTCATCAGGTGAGACTGATGAGGATAGCCCGTTACCAACAACAGCCCTAGGCAACTCCAAAGAGGACAGAGTTCTCTGTCCAAGAAAATAAAACAAAAACAAAAGAGAAAGAAGAAGAAGAAAAAAACACATATTTCAAATACAAATAGGGCAGACATGAAATATCAGGGTAAATGTATTTATTGTGAAGTGTTGCAGCAGTTAAATAAAGAAAATTAGATAATTGTTGGCGTAAACTTCACCTGCCCTCCTATTTCCATAAACCAAAAATCAATGTAGAATACATGCCAAAAACTAAAAGAAATACTCTATTTTTTGTAACTTCTAACAGAAGCAAGAAATGTTGGAAGGAACATAAAAGCTCTGACCACGTGACAGGAATGACCATCTGGTAATTACAAATCTGATTTAGTGTTTGGTTAGTCAAACCATTTATAAACATGCTACAGCCCCAAAGCCCTATTCAATCACCCCCAAATCAACCCTAATCCCTTCTCCTACTTATAAGCCTCTAATTTAACCATTAAAATCCTAAATTACTCACTGTTTAGGCCATCAAATAACCTCTATTACGAAAATCCAACAAGCTGTCCTACATCAGCATCCCAACTAAACTGCTAAAACAATGAATTGTGTTAAACCAATAGCTGAGAATCCTATCTCGTAACCCTAATCCCAACCATGATAACAAAATTCTCTAGTCTTTTTAGAATCTCTCAAACAAGTGAATCCTGGAACACTCCTGTATATTCCATTAACTGGTATTTTTTCCCAAATAACCTGAATAATACAAATAATTCCTGTATTTTTCCGAGTTTCTTGAAATATTCAGAATATTTATGGAAGGAGAACTCATGTTTTTAAAATTTCTAAGCATACCTTGCATTGTTATTAAAAAGATTTCTCAAACTTTTCACAACTACTTGCGATATAGAATTATCTTATAATTGAATAATTGAAGAATCTCAAATTTATTACGATGATCCCAACTTAGAAATAAAAAACAAGGTGGACAAACCCGTGAAGGAATAATTTCGTTATCCAAAATAAATAAAGAACATGGTGGACAAACCTATAAAGCAATTATAGAATATAGCAAGAAAACAAGTCAACAAGACTTACTTGAGACATAATTGTCTGATCAAGCTGAATACGAGTATACAGACTATCTTTTGCCAAAGAGGTGATATCACTAAATATAAAAAATTAAGTTGAAACCAACTTTAAAACGATGTAAAACTGAATATGTATTGGAGACAAACATGAAAATTTTAAAATGGCCTAAAACCAAGAAATTACCTTCTGGAATATACATTTATAAGGGAGCCTTTACCATCGACAATTGGAATTGAACTTATTTGAGCTGGAAAATAGAAAAGGAAGATGGGTGAATCGGTAATATAAAACTGTATATGCACCCCACATAGTTGACCAAAATTTAGATAAATTACTCGCCCAAGCAACAACTTAACTAAAAATTTCAGATAAGAGATTTGTAGAATAAAAAAAACAGACAAAAACATAAAAATCAAAGTTTGGCTTTTACAACCCATCTAGATATAATGTTTGACTAATTAGCAATCAAACTAATAGATGGTAACACCAATTCAACTGAAGAATGATGATATTGGATCATTAAATGTTTTTAAAATATGGCAATGCATAAAGTAGCGGCCTAAAAGGAACATTTTGCAGAACCAGCAATTTCATGTAAAAAAAATAAATTGAGTGAAAAAATGTGTTCGTTCAATAACAGAAATCGATTATACTGCAATGTCACACTAAGAGAGAGAGAGAGGCAAGGTGATAGGCTCCTCCTCTAAGGACCTTAAAAACCTCAAATGGTCTTTCCCAATTTGGGGACCACTTTCCAAATTTTGGATCCTTACTGCCTATAGGTAAGATAGTCTTCCAAACCAAATCCCCCTCTGAAAGTATCTTAACTTTTATCCTCATATTGTAGACTCTCTCCACTCTTCTTTTTTGGGCAACAAGATAGCTATAAGCCATAACTCTTTTTCCTCTAAATCTTGTAACTCAACCATAGTATATTCATCAATTGGAATATCATAGTGTAAGGCCACTCAACTAGATTGGACAATCACCTCTCAAGGCAACATTGCATCATGGCCATATACCAATTCATAAGGTGTAGTACCAGTACTGTTTCTCTTGGAATTTCAATAGGCCCACAATACATTAGACAATAAATTGTGCCAATATCTAGGGTTCTCCTCAATCACCCTTTCCAAATTATTCTTTATTATTCTATTACTCAGCTTGCCCATTAGGCTGAGCATAATAAGGTGATGAATTGAGGATTGAAATGTCATATTCCTTGGCAGATTCACTATTCCTTGGCAGATTCACCAAGTCAATTACATGCCCTTGGGTTGCTACCATCAATGGCACTGCTTCCACCTACTTGGTGAAGTAATTAGCTACCACCAAAAGGTAAGAATGCTGTTTTGAAGAAGGAGAAAAAATTTGCCCAATCAAGTCCATTGTCCATCCTTTGAAAGGCTATGGCTTTATCACTGAATGCAAACCAATTGCAAGGACTCTTTGAAGGCTATCATGCTTTTGGCATGCCTGACATCTCTTAGCATAGGCCATACAACCCTTCCTTACTGTAGGCCAAAATAAACCGTACCTGTTGATCATTCACCTCATTTTTTCTCTAGCTTGATAGGCACCACATATGCTTTCATACACTTCATCCATTACTTTCATCTGTTCATTTTGGCTAATGTATAATAAGGTCATACCATCATGGGCTCTATTGAATAAGTCATATCCCATGATGACATAATTCAAGGTTTGATACTTAATCTGCCTACTAACCTTCTCATTGGCATTTATAAAATATTTGATCAAAGGATGTCTCCAATCCTCTTTTGCCACTTCCAAATTCATTACTGTCACGAAATTTCTCTTTTGGATCCTAATTATTCTTTATTGGAATCCTTTAGGAATCTTTAAACAAGAAGCCACTTGAGCCATTTCATTAGCCTCATTATTCTCCAATCGAAACATGTGCTAAAATGTCACATGGCTGAAGAAACTCACCAACCATTTAACCTCAACTAAATACTCTTCTAAGGCCTTGTTAGTGCACTTGTATTCACCTTTAACTTGCTTGATAACCAAATGTGAATCACCAAAAACTTGCAAACTAGTGATTATGAATTCTATAGCCAATTCTAAACCTATAATCAAGG